GAATTTTCGTTACGTCTATCTAAAATGCCATTTATTTCTTTTTCTTTCACAACTTTGATGAATAAACTTATTTAATAATTTTCTGATGCTCATATTTAATAACTAATGATGTTTTAATGATTGTCAAGCGAATAATCAAACTTGTAATGATTGTTTTTGATGCAATTCAGTGGACAATCTCTGTGACATTTTTTCATATGGTCCGAAGAAATGAAGGAATAGCAGCAGTAAATAAAATCATTCCACCTAATTTTCTTGATTCGTTTATTATATACAAATTTATTTATTAAATTTACTGGGTTTGTCAAAAAAATATTGAATATTTTTAAAATTAAACAATGGTTAAATTTTATGCTTGGGGATGTAACCTTTCGTGTCAATTTTGTTACGTCTCGCGCACAGCCGCTTTCAGATACAATCGAAGGAAACTTCGATCGATATGTTCTATTTATAGCAATTAGAGACGTCGTAAAAGATTTACGAACTATGGCTGTGTTCAAATGTGAAAGTATTATTTCAAAAATAATCATCATAATTTTATCTATATTTTCGTGTCAAAACGTTACGTCTGTATACACGTGTCATACATCAAATACTCGAGTGACCAGAGGAAGACATCCTGTTTGTATGACATTTTCTGGTCTCTACTTTCATTTTTGGTGAGACCCGTGCACGTGTTGGAACAGTTCAAAGAAAAAGATGACAGGAGACGCGAGTAGTAGGTATGTCATTTACATGTTACGTCTCTCATTTTTTGGGGACCTCATCTTTTTCGGTGATTTAAGGATGTATTTTGAAACATATATAATACCAGATTTGCGTGTTTGCAAAGAAATAAGAATTAATTTTCTAAAAAAACTGTAAATATTGAACTATGCTACATTAATATAAGAATTATGCTTATTTATTTTCACACTATGGTTGGACTGATTGTGTCCACAGTTACATCACGCCCCCCAATCAAGTATTACCTAAATCTTTTTAATAATTCAAAAATGTTAATTTACATGTGATTAAATTTCAACTGATTGAGCTAAATTTAATTGTATCAAGTAATAACCATTGTAAACTCTATTTTAGAAAATTTTAGAAAATATCTGAAAATTTATAAAAGATGTAACTTTGACAAGATTATTAAGCCACAACAGAATGTGTCATTGTTACATCACTATTTATGAATGTGCATATTTTTTTGGTGATTGGCTTCTGACAAAAATACCTAATTGATGTTTTAAGAAGTGCAAAACACAGAATAAACTTGAGTGAAATAGTATGTATTATACATTGTTCTGTCATTCTTTAACTTCATTACATGATGTAACATAGGACACCAGTTTTTGTGTCCAAGTTAAATTTGTGAAAATATCATGAGATCAGTGTTACATCACTATCAAAGTACGAGTATAGATCTTAATATCCTTGTCAAACTACCTTTTCACCATTTTTTTTCTTTTCTTTTCAGGTCATAGAATGGCCACTGATCACTTCTGTGACTCTTTAACTTGGAAAAGATCAAGATTGATCTCTTGACAGAAGATAAAATGGCATTTGTGTAGAAAGGGGCATATACAATACAATGTATATTATTTAAATAAAACTGAAAATTTGTTCAATTGTTTACTTATTTATTAAGTTAAAATTTTCTTAAAGTTTCCTGTGATCTGATTCAAAGTAAAAACTTAACAATTAAGTAAATTAAAAAAAAAGTTTGTTGGAAGGCTTCAGTGTCCAGTGTTACATCTCTGTATGTTGAAATGAGGCATATAATTTTCTTCCTTTGCCATATGATTATGCAAACTTGGCCAAAAAATGCCCAAATGTAAGTGCAAATCCTTTAATAAAAAATTTGTTCAATTGATTTTAATTTTGGAGGAAATTTTCTTTTCTGTGTGCTGAAGTTTGTGTCCTGTTACGTCAGAAACAGAAGGTGATCTTTTTATGTATTAGTCGTTAGATTTGAGTGTAAATGAGAACAATGGACAGAAATTTTGTTTATAAAGGGGAAAAAATGAGTGTCACAAGTAAGATATAATTCAGTTGTAATTAATTAATTTGAATTAAACTTGAAGTGTCTCCGTTACATCACTCAATATTAATGAATTAAATTTTAATTGTATTTTAATTGTTTCAAGTGCAACTATCTCGGCCTTCCTAGGTGACTTGGTCCTGATACCAATCTTCAATTTGCAACAATTTTTAGAGTGATATCTTAAGTCTGAAATATTGGACACAAAGCTTTGAGTGATGTAACAAAAATTCCTTGACAGTGAATTTAAGATCATATCAAGTTTCCTCGTACAGCTGAGGTTTGATGAAGGTGACGGAATCAGCCGAGGTTTGCCGAATGTTCCAGGGGGGTCCAGACACCCCCCCCCCCCCCCGATCTGTGCATGAGTTGGTTTGTTTATACCCAGGAGGAGAGAAGAAGATTTTCAAAGAATTAATGCATTTTCACTATATAATCAATAGAGCCCTGCCCTTACACCAGAACTCCTGACCCAGGGGCCATGAAATTCATAATTTTGGAAGAGGCATCCTGTTCATCATAACTACATATTCAGTTAGTTTGTTTAATACCCAGGAGCAGAGAAGAAGATTTTCAAAGAATTAGTGCATTTTCACTATATATTCAACAGAGCCCCACCCTAGCACCAGAACCCCTGTCCCTGGGGCCATGTATTTCACAATTTAGGTAGAGGGCTCAATGCTTATTACAATCATGCCAACTCTTTGACTGCTTGATGTCCAGTAGTAAAGAAGAAGATTTTTAAAGATTGCATTAATTTTGATATTTTTGGCCCCACCCCTCAGGCCCCAGGGGGGCAGAGGCCACAAATTTCATAATTTTGTTCCCCTTCACCCATACATGCTATATGCCAAAATTGGTTGAAATTGGTTCACTGGTTCCAGAGAAGAAGCTGAAAATCTTTAAAAGTTTACAACCGACGAACGAAAAGAGATAGTAATAGGTCATCTGAGTAACTCAGGTGACCTGAATAAAAATAACATAGACAAGCATGATTTATTTCACTACATCATTATGAATAAAAAAAATTTTCATGTGTCTTTACTACAGATATTTATAACCAAGCTAAATTTTTTTACATCGAGACGGCTTCTTTATCAGTATACACGGTAAACATCAAAAGACCAAAAGTTATTTTGTTGGTCGCCATGTGTGGCAAACAAGGTGTACAAGTTATACACAGGGATTGGTGACTATACGTCGATCAATTTCAAGCAACCAATGATGGACCTTAATTCACTTCATTGACAGGGGAACACAGACCAGGTAAATCTGAAGGCAGTGCTTATTATCTCAGGCTTTAATATCTCCCCTTGAAAGGGGTGTGGCCCTTCATTTTAACAACTTTGAATCCCCTTCACCCAAGGATACTCTGTGCCAAGTTTGGTTGAAATTGGCTCAGTGGTTCTGGAGAAGATGAAATTGTAAAAAGTTGATGACAACAGACAAATTTTGATCAGAAAAGCTCACTTGAGCCTTTGGCTCAAGTACATCTTGACCAAAATACATTTGAAAATCAGCCTTAATTTAACAAAACTGGTGAACATACTATATTTGTTATCAGTTTTTCATTGATATATAAAGTTTGATACATTGGTCAGTAAAGCAATGCATTATTATGCACTGTTGTGTACTCTGATGGCATGTGAGGGAAATTCTGATTTTTTCTTAAATCTTTAGTCAATTCTCCCTCAAAAAGATACCTTTATTCATTATAACATGATTTTTTTTTCTCTCTATAAAAGTTTTTTTTGGGGGGGGGGGGGGGGGGTCAGTATTTTCCTTAAAGACATCCTTTGGTAATTGATTACTTGGAAATGTTGTTTCTGTGCTCCCTTAAGACATTGTGGGGGGGGGGGGGGGTTCCTTTTAAATTTGATCTCTCAAAGACATCCTTTTAGCAATGGATTACTTGGAAATTTTGTATACTCGCTGATAGCATTTGGGGTGGGTGGAGGGGGAATTTTGATTTTTTTTTTTGGTCAGACTAAGCTTATTTTAATGAAATATCCTTTAATTTCAATAAAATTCAGCTATATAAATGTATTCAATACCCTAAACACCCACAGCACAAAATAGCTGCAGTTAACCTGTAAAACACACCTGATTTATTATTCTCCTGCGTATAACAATAATTTGTAGAATGATTTTTTCCCGTATTTCTTTTCAACTTATTACACAATTAAATACAGTGTTCTCTAGACCTTTCACCTCTTAAAATTTAAATGCACGAGTCTAAAGCAAGTACATTTTCAAAAAAAAAAAAATTAACTGGGCCATCATCAGCTGATGTGAATTGCAATATGCTTAATGCAGCCTCTTGAAAATTGGTGGTCCCAGTGAAAGAGAGGTAAAAAGGGTCAATAGTAGACAACCCAAAAGGGATGATGAAATACGTGTTAAGATTCTAGTTTGTATGTGGAATTAATCAGAGTTAATTTATTACAGTTACTTTCAATCTTTCGAACATATGATACAAAGTTGACAAGAACATGAAGGGTTGGGGAGTGGGCTTTAAATCCCCTTCAGTTTTGCAGACTAAACATCCTGAATAGTAAAATCATCCAATTATTACCATGTCACAGCCTTTTCAAAAGCAAGAACAACCAAGATCCTCACCCATTTCCCCATATTAAATGCAATTTATATAAACATTCAATTATTGTAGGGAGAAATGTACTTGACAGGCATAGCTTAATTGCCTGTTCACTTCTCAAAAGCGAGTAGGTAAAAATGCATATGTAGGACTTGTATTTAGTATGCAAAATAATTTTATATAATCTACAGTTTGAAGAATGTAAAATTATCCTGTCAAGTTTAAAACCGAAGTCTTTTACGTACTCCTCATGCAAAATCATCAATTAATATCAATGAAGTTAATTAATATCTTCAAGCTGACTATTTTAAATTAAATAACTTGAATACAAGTTAAATCTTAGTCGTATTCATTAGAAAACTTTTTTTTTCTTTTTACCTTTTGCGGCATTCATGGTTCTGATATGGTGATCTTCGGGATGCAGAATGACATCTGCAGTGATTTCTGACAGGCCATCCCAACAGCATAGGGGGGGACAGCATATGAATTAAAATGAAAACTAATTTTAAAAGCTATTTTGTCTCACAGAAATATTGTATTAGCTTATTAAGTATAAATTCTGAATTTATTTTTATGAAATATTTAAATTCTAAGAATTATTTTGACCGATAAACAGTTCCTCATAATCCTTCATTAACATGGGTTATAATGGATTGTTCGAAACTCCGTTTGACTCCCTCGGCCAAACTTCAAAGAGTTTAAGGGAAACTGGGGTAGCGGTTCATTACGTAATGGTGTATATATCTTGGACGAGTTTCAAAGAAAGAGTTTGTCATCCGAAATATACAGTAGTTTGGATGTGTTATTTGCGCACCTATATATAATTCGTAATAAACTTCAGAGTTGACGAAATTGTAATTACTTTTCAAATTAAAAAAAATTGTTAAATTAATTAATTGAAATAGTACAATTTGTGATGTTGAAAACTGATAACAAATATTAACGACAGCGAAGCACTGTTTTCAACACTAGACTGCATTTACAGCAGAACGCCAAGGTTAGCTAAATAAGAGTTGACACATTGATTTGTGGGTTTTTGCAGAAAACGGTTCAGGTTTCTCCCAGTTATAAACAATGCTTTCAATGAATATTGATGATGTATTTATACATTAGAAAAATCTTACGAGTAACCAAAACGAACAGGTTAATGCAACACACTGATAGAATGTATGATAACTTGGAAGGCAAGGTTTTTAGAAATATTATATGTAAATTATTTAAAAAATCAATACCCCCCCCCCCCAAATGTACATAAAAAACCTTCAAAACGTACAAAACAATTCAGCAAACAAAAATCAAGCACCCCCCCCCCTCCCGCCCCGAAAAAAAAACATATCCTAAGTATTTTTTGTCTGCATTAATTTTTATGAGAGAAAAGTTTTGAATGAATTGATTATTTTTAAAATTGTTAAAATTCTTGATAAGTATCTTATTTTCTTTCTGAATTATTTCACTGACTTTTATTACAGTGTTCACTCCTAACATTTATCACCATCTACAAAGGTTTTAATTGGCACCACTGCAGTCAGCATTTGGTGGATTGGTGTATAAAATTTCTACTATTAAGCTTTAATAAACTGTTAACAGTATTTTTAAAAAATCATTTCCTTCCATACATTATTTTCAGGTCTTTGGCTAATGGTGATATTGACTTGGATGGATTTTCAGACTTGATTATTGGAGCTCCAGGTTATTCTAAGATAAATACTCCTCAAATTGGCAAAGTTTTCATCATATTTGGTAAGATTAGCAAGATATTTACAGGTAGAGGCATAAATCTATGCAGGTTTTGTAGACAGTAAAAAGAAGCTGATGAGTTTGAGTTTTTACTACAACTGAATTAAGTAACATTAATGATGATAATAATTTTGGCAGGAAATAAAACTGGTTTGCCAGGATCTGGGTATATTGCTGTCAATCTTGATAACACAACATTAAATTGCACAGGATATATGAATTCACCATCAAATGTAACAATGCAGTGCATAAATCCACCATATATCTGTAATTAATTTGCATGTGCACAATTTACACATACAGAGCATCTGAGTGAGATTATAATTTAAAACATAGAAAATTTGGTACATTGTAAGATACACATGTATATAAACGTGTATAAAAATTTAACAGTCAGAATATTGTTAAATTAATATTCAATATATCAAAGGAAGAGTGTTATAAATGGCTATTCATGCACTAATGCTCCATTCAGCCTACTGGTATGAGACATGACTTAATTTTCAGCAGGGCTGACAGCATGTATTTCAACATTCAGAAAATCTGTCCTAATAAAGTTTTGGGCAATTAAGTTTACTATATTGTTTGCATAAGGAGATGGGTGAACATAGCATGCAGAAAGCCTATAGCTTCAGATATTTAAAAAATCATGTTCAATTTGTAAATTTTGTACTTAGAGTAACATTCTCATTATTAAAGTGTTTATGAAATTATGATAAACAAAACCTTTCTGAGGAATATTTTCTTGGCAAAATTTATTCTTTTATTAAAAAATAATGTGGTACTGGTGGGGTTCAAACCCTAGCAGTAAAAATTCCGAGTATCATTTTCTTTCGAGACTAGCACACTAACCACTAGACTACACAAGTCTTGATGAACAGTGGCATTTAAAACAATCCATAAATTGTGATATGACCCTTGACTTAATGGACTTCAAGTATTTCTCAAAAAGATGCAAAATGTTATGTCATAAAAGTATATTTTTAAGGTATAGTGGGTCTTTGCTCTATGTTTTTGGTAACCAAAAGATGTATATTTTAATGCAAACTTTGAGGAATAACTTTCAAAAAAAATGGAGCGAAGACCCACTCATATTGAAAAATAGCGTTATAGTAAGAGAAAATGACTCTTTTTGCCCTCTTTAGTCATGTTAGTGTGTGTATAATATTTCATAGGCAAATAATTTCAATCTTTGTGAGATCTTTGCAAATTGTAGAGATTTTTCATAAAGTATATTTTAATGTTAGATGAAATATCAAGGAAAATTTTGATATAATTGGGATTTAATTTTTCACCTTCATGTTTGTCTCGCTATAAGCTTTTCGCTCGTCATGTTCACTATCTTCCTGATAACATTTTCATAAAGGGAGATAACTTGTGAAACTGCCAACAATATTGAATTGATATCTAGTGAAATAAATATTGAATGAAATTTAGCTAGCTGGTATCATAGGATGGTTAAATAATGGTAATAACTAAAATTCACAGACTGGGGTTGCAAAATAACTATCTGTAAATTTTCACTTGACTTCATAAGAATTGTTATACTTGGAGATAGTAAAGGTCTGTTAGTTGTATTGTTCATTACCCTTCTATTAATTTTATTGCTGCAGAACCTACATGTATTTTGATGTGCAGGTGAAAATTAAACAAGTTGATTGGAAAAATCCCTTTATTTGATGCTTTAGGGGATTTGGGCCATCTAGCTTACTTACTTTTCATATGATTAGATAACTGAGAAATTTAGTTAACCATTTGATTAAGTATGTGTTAAGGAAATGAATGCAAACCAGAAGACTGACAAGACTGACAGACTGTAGCTCTACTGTTGTATACTTATAGCAAAGAAAAATGCATCTAAGTATAATAGCCTACTTGTGTAAAAAATGTAATCAAACCAAAACTCTAGGAGGAGTAGCATTTTGAAAAAAAAAAAATATAAGAAATTTTTAATTTTAGTAACCTTGGAAACACCATTTGTCGAAATCAGAAATTGATACTAAAATAATTATGTATCTTTGTATAAGTCTACATGTGTACCAAATCTTAATTATTGAAATTGGACCAAAACTGTAGGAGGAGTAGCATTTTGAAAGAAATTTCTAATTTTAGTAACCATGGCAAATCTGTTTCTTGAAATGAAAAAAAAAACCTTTTAAAAATAAATATTATCTTAATGTATTCTACTTGTGTATTTAGTCTTCTTGAAATTACACCAAAACTGTAGGAGGAGTAGTGTTTTGAAAAATTGTTGAGTCCATAAAAATTATGATAAATATATCCCAACTGTTTGTCATGAAAATATTTTTTGGTTTCCAGCAACAGTCTCGATTTGGATCAAGTTTTATAGCTGTTCTGGACATTAATTTAGATGGAGTGTCAGATATTGCTGTTGGTGCACCTACTTACAGTAATGATAAAGATGACCCAATGAAATATAATGTAAGTAAGCATGTAATTCAATTCTTTTTTCTAGAAAATACAATATTCAAACTTCACCTTTCTCTCAAATTTGCACATGTAATTTTGTCGTAGGACAGCTAAAACTGATTAAATACTGATAAAATACATATCAGCTATTTGTCCCTGCTTCTTAGATCTGTGATTGTTATCTTACATCTGAGAACCTAATCTAATACATGTATTGTAATGATTTATCTGATTGATTTTACAAAAATCATTGCAGGGTGTCGTGTATCTGTTTTACGGCACACACAGAAGTAGACATTTTGCAGAACCGAACATCACAGTGTCTTGTAAGGTAACAGGAACATTTTAAAAAATGTCTTAGTTAATTAAGCTTTATCTCTGTAAAATAACTAATACATGACAGCAGATAGAACTGCATGAGGATCTGTGATAAATGACATGCACGGCTTCTAGCTGTCTCATTGATGTGTCCTCTTATTGTCAGTCTGACTTTTGTCGTCTGAGGACTTCACTTAGTGTGGATGATGTGAATGGAGATGGTCATGTTGACCTTATCATTGGAAATCCATTCTACTCACCAACAGACAGCCAGACAGGGATAGTCACAGCTCTTATGTCCAGTCAGGCATATAGAGGTACAAGTCACATTTATGTCTGATGCAGGAGATGGTGTCTCTGAAATAGTTTCGGATCCTTTACTGTCATGTACTTTTAGCTTAAAATAGAACAAAAATTGCACAAATTCCCAGTTTCAGTTTTTAAAAAAAAAATCTATGAAATATTACAGGTCAAGAGAATGTTACATTTGAAGATCTTGTGGAAAAGTGGAAGCTCCCTGGGCATCAGGTATTTCATATTTCATTTGATTAAAAATACAGAAAATACAAAATCTGTAGTCTTTGTTTTTCATTTAATTTCTTTGCAATTAAATATCAGTTAAATTAAAATCAATGTTATTGATTTAAATTATAGCTTAGTTTGAAGTAAATTTAGTAGTCCACTGAGTTGATAACTTTTTAAAAAAAATTCACTCAAAGCATTTCTGAAGTACATGTGAAAATATTGTACAAATCTTTACTTATTTAGGTAAAGTCAAAATTAATTATACCCCACGCAAAAAGTTGCGTGAGGTATAATGTTTTTGACCGGTCCGTCAGTCAGTCAGTGTGTCAGTCAGTCAGTCGGTCAGTCCTGTTTTTTTGTCATTGCAACTCCTCATAAACCGCTGCACAGAATTTCATCAAACTTTGCAGATATTTAGGACACAATGTGTAGATGTGCATATTACCAGGAAATTCCGATTCCTTTATTTTTTCTGGGAATTTCGGCACTTTTCAACTTAGATTTTTGGCCAAATATTGAATATAGAGATGAACAGTTTGTCAGCGCAACTCCTCATAAACCGCTGCACATAATTTCGTCAAACTTTGCAGTTATATAGCACACAATGTGTAGATGTGCATATTACCAGGAAATTCCGATTCATTTATTTTTTCTGGGGATTTCGGCACTTTTCAACTTGGATTTTTGGCCATATCTTGAATATAGAGATAAACAGTTTGTCAGCGCAACTCCTCTTAAAACGCTTCACAGAATTTGGTTAAACTTTGCAGATATATAGCACACAATGTGTAGATGTGCATATTACCAGGAAATTACGATTCCGTTATTTTTCTGGGAATTTCGGCACTTTTCAACTTAGATTTTTGGCCATATCTTGAATATAGAGATGAACAGTTTGTCAGCGCAACTCCTCTTAAACCGCTTCACAGAATTTGGTTAAACTTTGCAGATATATAGCTCACAATGTGTAGATGTGCATATTATCAGGAAATTATGATTCCGTTATTTTTCTGGAAATTTCGGCATTTTCAACTTAGATTTTTGGCCATATCTTGAATATAGAGATAAACAGTTTGTCAGCGCAACTCCTCTTAAACCGCTTCACAGAATTTGGTTAAACTTTGCAGATATTTAGTACACAGTGTATAGATGTGAATATTACCAGGAAATTCCGATTCCATTATTTTTGCCTTAAGAGTTTTGCCTATTATTGAAGAAACTTTCCAGCTAGGTAATAAGGAAATCCACTGGAATCTGCTTTTGTAATGAAATTTTATGTGAAATATTTTATTACCTTAAAAGGCCCCTATTGATTTTGAGATCAAAATGTTAATGATTTAACACACACACACACACACACAAAATCTTGGATAGTTCCCAACCCCCCCTCCTCTCAAATTGGTACTTTGCCTTATATAATTTCATAAGTACAGTATATAAACAAATTCATATGACTATACATCATAATTTTGTTTCCATCAATTATTTAAATGTGTAAATTGTCATGTGTTGGACATGGACTTACACTCATTAACAAATCGAAATCACTGAGGAATTTAAATAACAGTTTGTCAGCATAACTCCAGGACTGAATTTCCTGAAACTTTGTAGGTATTTCAGACATAATGTATAGATTTGTATATTACCAAGAAATTTTGATTCCATTATTTATCTAGAAACTTCAGCCCAATTAAATTTGTAACATACAAAGATTTGAATGTCCTTATATGCAAGAAGTTTTGATGTGATGATTTTTTGCAAGTAAATCCCCTTTTTGAATTATACTGTGTATTTCAAATGCACTGTGCCATTTATTACATGCTGCGTTGTTGAGTTTTGGGGGAGCGTGGGGTATGTGAGCTTGCTCACTTTTTCTTTCATTGCAAATATTGTTATATGGGATTCCCGTATTAATTGTGTATACTTCATTAGAGACATCATGAGTAAGATGCCAGATTATGAATCTATCAGGATTTTTAAATATTATCTGCATTTGTTGGTCTTGAACTAATTAAAAAAAAACAGTGAGTGAGAATAAGAGATCATTCTATGTTTACATTTATGAAAAATATATACCCCGGTATACCCGGTATGTGAATTTATCCTTGGTGATGATCAAGAACTACTGCACTATATATAACTAAGTGTGCTAAATTAAACATTCCACTAAAATCAGTATAAACATGTATGATACATTAAAGATGAATATCATTATTGGAACACCATTCCTGTGGAACTATTAGGTGGACTGGGACAGTCATTCTGTTCAATGTTACGAGCAGTGGTCTGGTAGAAATGGCTCACTTTGATGGTGACAGGAAGTTTGCCCAGTTTGGATCTTTCATCAAGGTAATAGTTTTAATGATCATACCACTTAGGGTTGTTGAGAATGTTATATTGAATATTCAACATTGTCATCTGAGTATAATACTGTTAAGGATCCATAGCAGTATAAGATAAAATAAAACTAACAGATGAAGATATGTTACTCAGAAGCAAGAGATATAGGATGATCAGGGATCAACAAAATAGTTAGTTTAGTGCTAAGTAGCAAATCATAAAGTAGATTATTTTACTTGCCTGTACTTGCCAGTGCAATTACTCTCCCATTTGTCACTGTGACCATGCATACTAAAAATATCACTAGTGCTTGTGCACGTATAGTGCTCCTATTTCATTCTCTCTCCCATTGCCATCTATTGGTCTTTGAAGAACATTAATGTATATAAATAAAAGGTATTTTTATCTCATTTTTATACCTCCATTCTGAAGGAGAGGGGGGTATACTGTTTACCCTTGTGTGTCTGTCTGTCCATCCATCTGTCCAGCTGTTTGTCTGTCCATAACAAGTTTTGGTTGCAGTTTTCTCAGCAATTAGGCCATTCCAAGTTTTTCTCTGTTTAGCATCCACTCATCTTTCAAAAACCTACCTACCTATTCGCAAAAAACACACAAACCAAAAAATAAAACAAAGACTTTATAGTCGTAAGAATGACGTCATTCAGAAGATTTGATTTGAGAAATCTATTTTCCTTGTTGAAAGATCTATTCTTCAGCAAAACCGAGGTATTAAATGCTTAAAATTTTCCTAATATGATATACTGTAGACAAATATTTATAGAAATTGACAGAATTCAAAGATTTTGACCAGAATAACCGATTTCAGGACTCCTGATTCTGTTTGTTTTTTTCTGTTATAAGGTGTCAAAAACCAAGGCGCATGCGGACGCTAAACATAGAAAAAACTTGGAATGGCCTTACTCATCACAGATGCTTAAGATTTTAGCACACTCTTTGTTAAGGCATGATGGTGGAATTCATTTTTGTGAGAATCTGATGTCAACTTCCTGTTTATCCATGCGTCTGTCCGTACCATACATAACAAATTTTGGCCGCAGTTTTCTCAGCAATTACTCATCGCAGATGCTTGAAAATTTAGCACACTCTTTGTTTAGGCTTGCCATATGGTGGGATTTATTTTTGTGAGAATCCGTTGTCAACTTCCTGTTTATCCGTGCATCTGTCCGTGCCATACATAACAAATTTTGGTCACAGTTTTCTCAGCAATTACTCTTCGCAGATTCTTGAAAGTTTAGAACACTCTTTGTTTAGCCATGCCATATGGTGGGATTTATTTTTGTATGAATCCGATGTCAACTTCCTGTTTATCCCTGTATCTGTCCATAAATGCACAAATGTGTATTTTCATCAGAGCAGGGGTATTATTAATGAGCATTCGCTAACAGACTTCTTGTATTTATCTTTTGTTAACAAGTCTACCTGACAAAAAAAACTATGAAAGTACATTTTGTATTATACATTGAAAATTCTTTAATTCGATTGACCAATCAACTCCATTATGTACAGTGATTAATTATCTTAGATAAATAGCAAATGGAAATAACTTCTCTCAGTAACATAAAATTTCCCTTCAAAATCAAAAGAGCCCAGTCCAGCACTAGAAAACTTGACACAGTAGTCAAGAATTTTACAAATCTGGTAAAAAATACCCTTGCTCATTACAACTTTGTACGCTGTTTGCCTCCAAGATGCCCAGGAGCAGAGAAGGAAGATTTTCAAAGAATAAATGCATTTTAACCTTGCTCATTACAATACAGAATGTATGCAATTACTTTGTGCGCTAAATACTGAGGGGCAGAGAAGAAGCTTTTTAAAGAATTTATGCATTTTCATATGATCAATAGAGCCCCACATTAATATCAGAACCCCTGACTCAGGTGCCATGAATTTTCACAATTATTGAAGAGGCACCCTTGATTATCATAACCATGCACTTACATTTAGTTATCTGCTTAATACCCAAGAGTAGAAAAAAAGATTTTCAAAGAACTAATGTATTTTCAATATATAATCAATAAAGTCCAACTTAACACCAAACCACCTGACCCAGAGCCACAAAATTCACAATTTTAAAAGAGGCACCATTGATCATAATAACCATGCATTAAGTTTGTCTGCTAAATATACAGGGGGAGGGAAGAAGCATTTTTAAAGAATTAATGCATTTTTCACTATATGATCAATAGAGCCTCACTCTAACTACAGAGCCCTTGACCGTGGGGCCATGAATTTCAAAATTTTGGTTAAGGACTTAATATTGCTTTAGAATAATCATCCCAACAGTTTGACTGCATGATGTCCAGGAGTGAAGAAGATTTTTGAAAAAATGCATTACATGTAAATTTTTATGGTTTGGGCTCAGATGACCTAAAAATAAAAATATTGAAGAATTTATAATGAATATATAAATGCTGTTTTAGATAACAGTAAAATGTTGATTTTTGACAGTTCATTGACTTGAATGGAGATGGTTTTGATGACTTGATGATTGGAGCACCGCTGCATTCAGATGATTGGACTGACCTTATCCCAAGAGCTCTCAATATATGTATGAGCTGCACAAGGCTAAGGAGTTCTGGGATGGTGGTGGTGGTGGGGGTTATACTGTTCTTGCTATCGCAGCTATCTTTGTCTAGCTGACTGTCCTTTATCATAATTAGCTGTAAGATCTGGGTTGCATTCAAGATTGTAGAGGCTACATAGCTCTACTTATAACTAGAATTTTGAATGGTGTGCTAGCCTAGCAGCTACATAGGGATAACAAGTGTTAATTTACACAGTGCATTCAGTAGACCTAGATATATCTAGCCTAGTTGATATGTTAGCTGTTACAATCATGAATGCAGCCCTGTTCCCAACTTACTAGGAGGTTTATATACTGTAAGTCCCTTTTTATTTGCAAGAACTTTATTTTGACTGTGTAAATATGCAAGACAGTCTGCTTGCGAAAATTTCAGTCATCTGTATATCTGTATTCTTAAGACTATGTAGAGCAATAACCAAATTTCATGAATATTCTGTCTCGTTAATAGAGAGTAAATGACTATCTCGTGCAAATAAGGTGTTGTTAAAAATTATTGATCTTTAGTACATGTATACAAATCAGACTTGCCCATATGCTGCCCCCAAGACAGATTGTAGGTTGCATACCGATACTTCAAATGCTATATCTGACATATTTTAATGCTCTTATTACTCCAATTAAGATGAGTTTTAATTCTTTGCTGTGTTGTAGCTCTAGGATCATAGTCACAATGTTAATTTTCAATTTGAAGATGAAATCCAATGGCCTTTTCTTCTATAAATACTACACTAGTCACATATAAAGGACTGTGTTACTGATAGTGTATCTTGTTTCTGACTAAACACAAGATGATGTGAATCATCTCTTTTATGAATTGATAATGGTTAACCAATTTTTTTTTTATTTTTAATAGTTGAAGATTGTAGATTGTTCATTTTTTATGGAGGAAGCCAGTTTCCTACGGGCAATGCTACTTTTACCAAAGACTGTGTTGGCTTTTACCCTTGTCCTTGGAAAGTGGTAAGTGTCAACATGTGTGAGATCTCTAGTGAATATAAACTGCGTGTGATTATTCTGAGTGATCTTAGAAAAAAGTACTTTTATGCCATTTAAGGTAGCCTACTTGGTTTCATAATTCATTTAAGAAAAAATTCCCATGTCAGAGGAATTGTTGGAGAATATACCCCAATAGTTTAGACATTTTGTTGACAAATTAAAACCAAGCCAACAAAATCTCAAGACTAAGGGGTATATTCTCCAACAATTCTGACAACAAGGGAATTATTTCTATTCTGCTGCAACAACAAACGAAAACGGATAGCAATAGGTCACCTGAGTGACCTATAAATCATAGACTCGGCTTCAACTTGGTCAATATTGATAATTTTCTGGTGAATAACAAACCAAATTCATCAACGAAAGAGTCCATAATTGAAATATAAAAGAAAAAGGATGAAATATATGCTTTAGAAATTTTAAAGCATAGGAATTTGCAATTTTTTTGTTATCTTCTGTTAATTTTTACATAAATCTTTAATATTTATGATATTTTTTTTACACTTCAAAAAAGATATGAAAATTTTGCATTTTGCAATTTTTACATTTTAAGATGACTCCTTTGAGAACCAGAATTTTGCTTTTCTTCTTTACATAATGTACAATGTAGCATTTTGTATCACATATATATTACAATTTTAGGAGTAAGTCTATAATTGTGGGATTTTTATAATTTGCTTTGAAGTGCAAAAAATTTGTAATCCTAATTATATAGTAAATCTACCTATATTTTGAGATAAAAAGAAAAAAAACCAGATGGTAGATTTTCCAGAAACTTGCCATGTACACTGATGTCAATTTAGGTTCAACGTGCTATAAAAATAGTTTTTCTATTGTAGTTTTAACACAGTGATACCCTAGTCGACCCCCTTATTGACAGCTAGATGTATTATGACAATAATAAAGAAAAATTTCTGAAGACTTCTATTCAAAATTTATTCAAAATTTCTTAGAATACAAAAAAATTTATGGTATAAACATTTTTTTAAAAATAATTCAATTAAACCTTTTTATATGGTGACATAAATATAGCCAGTTATGATCAATGATTTTAGGCAGGAGACATGATCATTCCAGTGAGCCCCAAAGCCTATATAGGGAGAGTGGCTGAAGTTTTGGAATACCCAAATTTGGTAACTAACAGCATGTTTTATTAGATATAAGTACTAGGGGTGGGCAATAATACCGATATTCCGGTATATTGCGGTGTGTTGACAAAAAATATCATTGCAATATGTTTTTGAAATACCCATATACCAGCAAAGTGTTTGGACTCAGAAATTCTATCATAAAATGAAAAGAAAAGTCAGAAAGGTTTGCGATCATGCCAAACAGTAAGACAAAAGCTTTTGTATGGGTGTATTTAGTTGCATAACTGTAATTCTGTCAACAAGATATCATTTATTGGTTATTTGTCATGGTTATGTAAATTCTACATGTAAAAAGAAGTTAATATAATAAGAAAATACCATTTAATTTTTGGTTGAAAATATTGCAATACATATCACAATACAATTAAAAATAGCAGAATACGAAATCTCTAGCCAATACCCTGCCCTAATAAGTACTGAAAATTTTCGCCCCTTTTGCTCTTGTTGCAATTGGGTGAATTTAATATGGGGTGAATTCTAAGAAAATGGCATTATCTCTTAAACAGAACTGTGTCTGGGTAAATTCAAAATGGGGCAAAATTGTTTGCAGGTGAAAAAGGGCGAAAAAATAAGATGGGGCAGAAATAAACCTGTATACAGTAAACAGAGGACATTCAATGTTCTTAAGTGTGGTTCACAGGTGGGATAGGATTTGTTTTTATATTTTCACAAAGCAAAGCATGGGTACAAATATTTTTTTTAAAAATCCTGTCTCATGCCAAAAATAGTCGCATTAAATAAAATATTCTTCTTCATAGTGATATTGTTTCAAATTTTGCCTTGTGTTGTAAACAAATTTTGCTTAAATATTTTTTTAATTTATGTCTCTGTGACCTGTTTATTAAAAAATTGGCATAAAAACAGAAAACTTTCATTTAACAGGTCATATTACTTAAACAAGTTAAAATTCCACAAGACTCTGGAGCTGTATAGTAATGTTTCCATACAGACATGCTTAAATAAAGCGCTGCAAAATGATTTTTTTTTATATTTCTGCAAGACTTTATATATCTGTATACAGGTAATGTAAAGAGTTTTTTAACATGATTTTGTATGTTGCATATATTTCTCTGTTGCAGACAAACTTGGTTGTATCAGCAGTATGGAGTACAGATTATTACAGAGGATTCCCCCACACAGGATCTATCTATATATACACTTTCCACAAACAGAATCACTAGTCTAAGAATACTTATTGACAATTTAACAATAACTTATGATATTTTGATAGGCTAAATAGTTCACTTCAAAGTTCAAATGTGGTGTCCATTTTGGTAATGCAGTTCTTTTTCTGTTATTGTATGCTACTATTTTTTCAATACATACAAACTTGTAAATTATGACAATTTTTTTCTACTGGAAATCAGAATAGTGGAAATACAAATGTGCTAGCAGGCAAAGTTACAGTTATGAATAATATTAAGTATATTTAAAACATGATTGTGATGTAAACCTTTTGTTTGTGTTGTCCATTCTATAGCTTAATGTTGAGCTAACTCCTCAAAGAATCCATTAAGTTACCTGTAAGTGTCCATTCTTTTTGGAAAACTGTCCATTCTTTTTAAGAATGGACAGTTTTTTCAAAAAGAATGGACTGTTAAAACAAACAGAATGGAGAGTTACAGGTAAACTTTGGAATGTGTTCAAGAGGGAAACAAAACAAATACATTAAATACTCTTTAATTTACATGTAAATAACAGAAAGATCACAGAGATCTAAGCTAATCCAGAACACAATGTCTGCACAGGATCCACTTGATTTCATGAATAATGTACATTATTTCAATACTCAAAACTCAATTTTCACAAAACTTGATTGCAAATGACACAATTTCACATTTGACTTTTCGGAAAAATTATTCCCTCGAGGAGAATTCATTTTAAGATAGAAGTACGTCTAATATTAAATCTTCCACCCAGAAAACAGTTTGCTCCATGAACACTTCACTGCTGCAGTTAATATTTCCGAACTTAAAAATGAAACATCTCCAGATTTGATTTGTAAAACATTTTCAGGTCGAAGATTGCCTCATGGCTAACCCAACATTCAGAACACAATATGCATTTCACCAGTACACTGCTGCAGTTAATATATCCTGAAAAATAGAATTCAAATAAAACATTTCCAGGTTTGATTCAAATTTCATTATGTGTATCTGTTGGAGAAGTTCACTTTTGGGTCAAAGTTTGGGTAATATTTCGAATTCTTTTACTCTTCTGCATGTTTCCAGATCCAAATATCACCAATTTTATGCATATTTTGGTTTATTAGATTTTGATTCTGTCATATACTCTCTCCATCAGAGGAAGACATGTATGCCTTTACAACGCAAACTATAAACTGATTTTGAAGCATGGCATACTTGTATAAATACTAGTATCCCCCAAAATCCACCTGTATCTGTCCATTATTAAGACAAAGACCTTTTGTTATTTGCATCTGCGCGAAACACAATGGCTATTCAACAAATTGCTCTGCACCCCTAGCTTACCTATGACTGTCCATTCTGTAAACAATGCATTTGTCATTGTATGTGTGCTATCTGTCATATCTGCTACCAGTTTTGTAATTTTTTTTATTTCATTTTCAGAACAAAGGAAATCATGTTTTAAGTAGGAGAAAGGCCTCAAACTGTCCATTCTGTGAGAGAAAGAACTAATCTCGGGACTACGGCCCTCGATTAGTTCTTTCTCTCACAGAATGGACAGTTTGAGGCCTTTCTCCTTTATGTATAGTTTCAAAAAATTATTGATAATTTTTTTTGGAGAGATATTTGTTTAAAAATATTGTAAAAATAAAATATTTATAGTTTGATATCAAATTTTTATCAAAGGACAACATTTTCTAGTGTCTTATGTGCAAATTTCAGGGATTACTTACCTTTTACTTTATTTTCTTTCTGAGAGTTGCTGATGTTCAAAATGAGTGCTTCTGAAAACAGAAAGCCTGTTGTATACATGCCAACTTTTTAAAATCCTTTTAGGGTTTGGGGGAGATTGTACATAGCAACATTTTTTCAAAGCTCTAAATTTGCGGCATTTTGTCGTAAAAATAAAGATATGTCCTTTTTTAGCTCACCTGAGTTAAAAGCTCAAGTGATCTTTTCTGATCACCCGTCCGTCATCCGTCCAACCATCCATCCGTCTGACTGTTCTTACTTAGCAGATATACAAGTCTTCTTTGAACATAAATGTTAGTTTCCAACTCTTTCCCTTAAATGAATTCCTTTACTTTTTCAGTACCAGGGTAATTGTACCACACAATACAAAGTAGATAGAGAAATACTCAGTGTTTCAGAATTATCACCAGGTTTTACAATTCCTTAAATAGACATTCTATTAATTCTCAGAAGCACTCATTTTAAACAACAGCAGACAACACAAAGTAAATGAAATAAAAGGGAGGTTATCCATGAAAACAGCATGTATCATAAGAAAGTATGGGGTACTGTCATTAGATAAAAAAAATAATAACATTCAATTATATTATATGTTATTAATGCAATATTTTAAATACCGGGGTATACATTACAAACAATTCAGAACACTGTATGTGCACATTGTATTATTTTTTTTTTTTTTTTTTTTTCAAAAAAAAGAAAAAAAAATAATTTCTTTATTGCAACAATATTAATGTTCTTGGTCTCCCAACAGATTTTTAGCAGGGCCCAATAGTGTTGATATCAAGTGTCATATACATGTATATAACTATTGGGTTTTGTTTGTCAAGGGTAATGGAAGAATTGTTACTGTTTCAACTTAAAAAATTGCAACAATGAAATTGGTAAGTAAAAGGAACAGTGATCAATCTTTAAGAAAAAAAAACTGCAAACAATACAAATCTGTGAACAGGGCATAAAACATGGAACCCTAGAAATTCCAGAGGTGGAATCAGGTGCCTATAAGGAATAAGCATCCCCAGTCAACATGTCACACCCGCTTTGGGCCCTATGTTTTAATCTGGTAGACAGAGTATCTGTAGTAAAATTTAGACCTTACAATTGGTATGAAATAACATATATGCTCACCTATTAAGTCAAATTTTTGGGAGTTAAATTTTGATCCAAAACTCCATGTGTGACTTATACATCATCTGCATATGGTGTTTGTGTCTCCCAGCTGATTTGATGCACAAGAGCAGGATGCTCTGAGTATGATCAATTTTTAAACCAAGGTAAGCAACTGGACAAAAAAGTAGATTTTACAAAAATTTCGACAACCGTTTGAAGTCTGCTTTTTGCAAATTCTACCATCATTATAATGACTTTGTTTGTAAATACAACCCATCGTTGGGTGTCTGACTTGTTTGATACCATTTGTTAGGTCATTGCTTTATATAAAATTTGACTACAGAGTACTCTGTATACTGGTATCTGATCAATATGTAGGGCTCATAGCAGGTGTGACCAGTCTACAGGGGATGCTTACTCATCCTAGGCACCTAATCCCACCTTTGATGTTTTCAGGGGTACATGCTTTTGGCCTGTTTAGGATTCAATTGGTTTACTGGATTTAAAAGACTGATCATTGTTTTCATCACCTTTCATATTTTAACCGACATGTATGTATCTGCTGGTGAGCAATCTGTCCCAAAAGATATTTGTCATTCAGTATATATTCTTCATTGGATATTAAATTGATCACTGTTTGTTATTTTCACGTTTAACATTATAAGGAAGTCCTAGAATATGGGGTATTTTTCTGGAAGAAGAAATATCATGGTAATATTGAAAAAAACTCCCAATGATAATCCTAAAGAAAGGTTGGAACTTAATCTAAAGCATGAAAGGTTATCATATGCATTTAACACATATGCTTACAGATTTAAATGATCTTATATTGCTTCAATTGTTAATAAAAGATTAAATATTGATGTCATTCACTGATGTCTTGTCCCAAAATATACTTTGAAACACAAATAAATACAATTATAGAATATTAATCTGAAATTGACCACATAATTCTGGCCAAAAATAAGAAGAGAAAAAAACTGACTTATAAGTGGGTCAATATCAATTTTCTCCAAAATTATCTAAAAAAAAAAAATACAATCAACTTATAAGCAAACTGATTTGTAAGCATTCAAGTATATATGATATGTCAGTTAAAATATGACCAAATGATAGGTTGTATTTGCTAATAAAGTCATAATAACAACCATAGAATTTATGAAATGCTAAATTTAAATGGGGTTGTTGAAATCCCTGTAGCATCAACTTATTTGTCACTAGCCTGTCTCAATTAAAATCGGAGCAAGCTCTTCAGTATCAAATAAGTTGGGAGAAATAACACCATATGCAGGTGATAGTGAAATATAACTACATAAAAAAAGAAAGTTGAGATGGAAAAGGAGAAGTCATCTTGTTTGTCATTCGTAACTATTGATAAATAATCTTTGACATATATATCTGAATGTCGAGTTGAAGGCCACATCATGTGTTTTCTTCTTCTTATGTAGAAGTTTTTTGAATAAATTCTGCTTCAAAGAAATGTAAAAATAGGCTGGCTTATAAAAGAGCACAATTAGTGCCCATTGGAATTCCAACAGATTGTTGAAAGAACTACATGTAAGTTGTCAATGAGGGACACAGCATCCTTTTAATATAAACCTACTTATGTCTAGGGTTACCTTGGGTGTGGGCAGAATATGGGTTTAATATTTTTGTGGGTATATAAAGGGTAAAAAAAAGACTCCTGACAAACAGCAGTGCCAGGGTGAATAAGGTGAGCATTGTGGATCTTGGGATTCTGCCTACAACAAAGAGATTCTTCTTGTATTTTGCTGTCTTCATCAAGCTGAATACTTTGTAAGTAAATAATACTGATAGAGCGGGCTTGATATATATTGACATCCTGCATATTATTTTATTACCTTGGAATTATCATGTACTTAGAAGGAGTTATTGTCCCTCGGCAATCAGAAAGAGTTATCCTTCTTTGAAATAATTGAGGAAGACGCAATTTATGATTTATATACATTAGAAAATATTCTAATGGTAAAAAATTGTTTATTTAAAGACTTTCATCTTTAAAAATATCAAATTAGAGACTATTGGCTCTTATGGGGCATATTTGTGTTTTTGAGGACTATTTCGGTAATTTGAGGGTTTTCTCGTTATTTGTACACCCTTTAGTGCCGCATTTCATTGGCTGTATCAATGCAAAGAAAAGAAGCATGGCTGCCACTATACGAGAAAAGTAGAAGAAAAACTTTATTTGTGTCTATTACAACAAATACTGTGGTAATTTTTACTCGTTAGCGGTTTGTATATATGTTCAAAGTAGAATTTATATTCCAAGTGTACAAAGTACCCAAACAGTTGCACACGTTTTGAAAACACTGACGACGAAGTAGTTTGCATTAAACTGTTAAAAGCATCAATGGGTTGGAATCATTAAAAATTCATTCTTTACTTTGAAAACTTTGTGGAAATTGATTGGATATGACGGAGGTTGGAGAATGCCTTCCACTTGAGTCCAAGGGAGTCATGGACGCCAAGAACCTAACGGAATCTGAGGTTCACGAAGAAACTTCTGTGGATGCTAATGGATTCCCTGCAGAAGAAGAACCCCCGACAATCGACATAATCATCAACAATGTTGTTTGCAGTTTTAACACACGATGTCATCTTAACCTCAGAAATATTGCAATGGAAGGATCCCATGTCGAATTCAAAAGGGAGCAATCAGTGAGTGTTGTTCACTGGTACTATGATGTGTGTACATGACTACATGTGCATTTGTTTGATTTCATGTCTTATCAAGAACAATATGTAATCCATCTAATAATTGTTAAATATATAACATGAGTAGTTCAATAAAAAGAATACACATAGAAGATTACACTAATCATTACATCCTTAATTAAAGTGGGTGGAAAAGGTTTCGCAATATTTGTACATCTTGACTCTTAGACTAAGTATAAACATTACATATTTTAACCATTCTGAATACCTTTTGATTGACTAAATGTTACAATTTATTTGAAGGACAAATGTCATTTTTTACTTACCAGCTATGAATCAAAGACAAATATAATTTGTTTTAGATGTGCAACATGAAAATCAGAAGACCATACACAACAGCAACAATTTGGTCATCAGGGAAAATTGTGTGCACGGGAGCCACCAGGTAAAAAAAAAAAATATGCCATTTTGACATGGCCCTTGTATTTTATTTTATTCCACCTCTAATGATTTTTCAATGAAATCCTGGCTTATGATTGGTTGAAATCTGTCAAGTAAAAGGAGTGTAATTCTTATATGTGGTCACTTGAAAATCAATACATGGTCAATACAGAGTTTTCATACTCTTGTATCAGAACACCTCATGGGTTCATTAATCTTTTTAATCGTCAATTAACACAGGCTTGCAGAATGTCTGTTGACAATAAGTTAACTAACATACAATGAGCACTTATTATAGAACTTTTTCTCCCTTTATTAAAATTCTACAAAACTATCTGTACGTTATTACTGCACGAAACACAAAACGATATCACGTAGCACAACATGGCATCATAATAAGCACTGTATGGGAATGATGACACATATAGTGGGGATAAACAATTTTACAAACTATTGACACTAGGTATAAAATTTAAGATCAGGTATCATTCTTGGTCACTACAAAACTATGTAATTAATAACTCATTGATTACGCTTTCATTTAAATTCATTCCACAGTCAAAAATATAAAAAATAACGTACAATAAATAGTCTTTTGCTATTAGTTACACAGTCAGTTAGGGACCTAATACAGAGACATACAGGGTGTGAAATGGAAATCTGTATTGGGCGAGGCAAAGCCGAGTCCCAGTACGGATTTCCATTTCACACCCTGTATGACTCCGTATTAGGTCCCTAACTGACTGTGTAACAAATTTATCCTGCTGAAGATCTTTTTAATATTTCAAAAAAAATCTATGAGCATATTATCAATATATCAAGTTTTAATCCAACAACAACAGGGTTTTGGGTAACCTCTCACCCACTCGCAATTGCAAGTAAAATTTGCTGTGGGCGATTAGATATAAAAAGTCTGATCGCCCACATGGCGAACGATTTTTTTTTTCCGAAACATAATCACATTTCAGAATTATATTGTATGTACTTTCAGTTTTAAGAAAACGCTCTACTAACCTAAATTATTTGTGTCACAAGCAAGCATATTAGTCAAACGTAAGTGACTTTGATCAAACATGGAGATTTATCGAAGCGGTTAAATTTTCAATCTCTGTTAAATTTGATGATACGAGAGAAAACGTTTGAGACTGTTCTTCTGAAATACATTGTAACAATCGGCTATGATTGTCAGACACCCCATCCGTACTAGTTATTCATAGATAGAATTTGAATTGTCGTGTCAAATGCACACAATAAAAGATTGGAATCAAACTTCATTACAGGTTGTATGCAGTTTATTATTTAATATGCCCCTTGTTAAACCATAGACGGTTTAGTTGTATGGTTAAACACTACAAAATGTAATCAACATATTATATATCAGTTTTTAGAAAAGAGAAAACCTGACAAAAATTCAAATACTGCAAACATATTGATACCAGGAATTAAAAAAACTCAGTTACAAAACAGGATTTTTTTGTTGTTATTTTAAATTCACATATAATGTGGGTCCGTGGATCACATTGTGGGCCTGTAAAATTTGAAAAGTTAGGAGTCTATATGGCCCCCCAAGGTTTCAAAAGTTAACCACAACACTGAATAATCAACATAAAATATCATAACAAGTAACAAGAAATTTAACTACCAACGCAAACTGTTTCTTACCCGCCATTTACAAAAAAACCCGCTTTGAACAGAATCACTTGCCCGATTTTAAGATTACTCCTGGACGGAGATGTAATACAGAAAAATTCAGGGCGTCATGTGATTAGCTTTTATCCAATCAGTAATCTACAAATTTGTTTGAAGCGGGATAAAATGAAATACATATATATAAACCAGTTTTGTTGATTAACTCTTTTTGTGTTGTTTTCAGTGAGGAAGAATCCAGGATAGCTGCTAGGAAATTTGCCAGAAAATTACAACGCTTAGGATATAAAGTGAAATTTACTAACTTCAGGGTCGTAAATGTTTTAGGAACATGTGGCATGCCTTTCCGTATAAGGATAGCTGCCTTTTCACAAAAGTATCCAAAGGAAGCAAGGTAAACTGAGAAATAGAAATATGATGAAATGCATTGACTAATTAATTTTGTTCAACAAATTTGACTTCGAGTCAATTAGATTTTTTTTAAACAACTGAAACAAAGTTATCTGTTATTTGCTTTGATGTTTATTTTCTGTAGTTTTGATAATTTAACATAAACTGTCATTAATGGAAAAAAATTTGTAATTTCTTTCAGTTATGAACCAGAGTTACATCCAGGAGTGACCTATAAACTAAAATCACCAAAGGCAACACTCAAAATATTTTCAACAGGAAGTATTACAGTAACTGGTATGTTATTATTTTGTTCTGATTATAGATTATATGCTTAGATTGTAATACAATTGAATAAATAGCACTAGGGACTTGAAATAGTGGTATAAGGCTGCCCTTGTCATAGGTTGTGAAAATGTCATTCTTGAACTCAGGTTTTCTCTCTGTAGAATTTATCAATACAAATGTATTAAAAATTCAGTTTCGTACAGTGGTGCCTCATTAATCTGGATGATTTTTCCTGAAGAAAATTGAAGCATTCAGTGAATCACATCAATGCAAATATTATTTGTTACCAGAACACCTTAGGGCTATAATCTCTTGAACCTTAACCTTGGAGTTTGACCTACACTTTGACCTACACTTGAAAACCTTGGCCATAACTCCTGAACAATTAATGTTCAGTCAGGGATGAGACTGAAATCTGTCATTCTGGAAATGAGGATTACTATTCATAAAATAAAATTTTTATCATGACTAAAACAGGCCATTTTTAAGAAAATGATGAAAAACAGTCATAAAAATTTAGAGTGCTTCTAGAATACTGAGTTACCTCTGTTTAAAAAATGTTAGATCCACCAACTGAAAAAAGGACAGAAAACATTGTGAACAAACTTCATTTCTTAAATACAGATAATACATTACTGGTTATGTTGACAGAGCAAAATTCCCAAGCAAATATAAGAGTGGCAGAGTTATTTGTCATTATTTGCACAAAATAGTAAAGAAAAGGAAAATGAAGATATTTCGTCTTTTTACCAAAATGGAGGGTCTGGGTTTACTGAATATCTCACTTGTTTCACAGGCGCACTGCTTTTCTATGGTTTTAACTTTTTGTCAAGACTTTTCTCTACATGTATATATTCTTCCAGATGGTGTACTATATGTTTTTATTTGGCTAAATCCATGTAAAAGTGGCAAATTAATTCTACCAAAATTTGACATTTTACCGATATTCTTAAAATACCAACTTTCACCTTCCATATTTATGTTCAAACACACATAGTCGACAGTAATTTGAGACCCTGATGAAATGAATCTCACGTAAACACTCTTCTTCCAGCAGTAAATTCAAATTTGCTTATATATAACCAGGGTAGAGGAATTAAATTGAAAATGAAAATATGATGATAGTAAGTCGTATTGACTATTAAAATGACAAAATTAAGTAATTAGTAATCATGATGATCATCCATCATTTTTCTGAATGATGGATTTCAGTCTCTCCTCTGACTGGTGTTCTGGCTGTCATATTTCACACCTGTATTCCTTGTGACAAGACCTTTCCTTAAATACCAATATTTTTTACCTCATGACATTAACCTTGGAGATTGACCTACTTTTGAAAAACTTTAACCTTGACCATAATTTCTGAATGGTTGCTGCAAGGGCATTCTTTAGGTACCAACATTTTGATCTCTTGACCTTGGCCATGGAGTATGACTTGCAATTGAGAAACTTAAACCTTTGCCATGAGCTGCCATACAGGGGCATCAGTGTTGCACAAACACATCTTGTTATCTTGAACACGCCTATGATCATCAAAACTTGTCAGTTTATGCATCATGGGGCCTTGATATGATACTGCGTCTTACTTTCTGAATCTTGTGTCAAATCATTTTCAAAACATTTACAGTCATTATTTTGAATACTGAGAGGTTTAGATTCATCAAACCTCGATGCATTTTGTGGCCTTGAAACATATTTAAGGAGTTGAAAATTTCCTGGAAATTGATGCCTTTTTGGTTTTCAGTGTGTTAACCAAGAAGTAGGTGATGGTGACCTACTTTTGGAATTTCAAGGTTTTATCTAAATATATAGGATACTATGAGGCTTAGAATAGAAGAGATAGGTTGTGCAATTTACTTAATGAGTGATTCTAGGCTCTTGGGCCTCCTTTTTTCTAGGTTCAGTGAGGAATAATTTGTTTGATGTGAAACATAATTTTACTGCATTGAAAATAGAAAGTCTTCTGCCCAAAGATCAAATCATTTGGAGAGAATGGTAGAAAACTACTGATAACATCTGTCTGAGATAGACAGGTCTTTGAGCAGAAGAAAAATATTTTTTAATAATTCCATACACAGGAAACATTAGTTTGACAATTTGTTTAATTTCACCATGTCAGACTACAATTACATTGTTTATCATGCATAGCTCACCAATATTTTAAACCCAATCATTAGTAGTAATTTGTTCATTACTAGAATGCATATGATTAAAATAGTACATAGGAATTCTTCACATGATGATATTATTTATATCTAGTACGAGAATTCTCTTCCCAAAATATTTTGTCCTGAAGATGAAAGTCCAGATCATTGCTATTAGAATTATTGCATTTGCACTGTATTAACTGTCCATATTCACCCTAATAAGTGCTCAGGGTACTTGGAAAATTGAAAAAACAGGATGATTAAAAACACATTTAATAATGTCAAAAAAAGAATATTTTGTCAAATAAACCTTTTAAGAATACACTCTGTAATTGGCAAGTTGAACTAAAGAGTGACTGAATTGTGATATATAGTGATTTTAGTCACCTATTTATATTTTACGATGGGAAAAAATACAGGATATGATAGTTAAGATATTCTGATCAAGAAAAGGTAGCTGGAGATTTAATAAGTTAAAGAAAATATGACAAGATAGGATGTATACATGTATGATTAAGAATCGGATACAGTGCATCTTTATATGTAACTTCTACTTTCCATTTCATTTTTTTTTTTTTGAATACTTTTACAAGTATAAATGATACATTCTTTACTATCAAAATATTTCATGTTTCATTTTTGCTTGAAAATTGACAGAAAGATTCATTTCAGACACATTTAAGAACTTTTATCTACAAAATAAAAAAAAAATGCATATACTGTATGATAATTTGATGAATGGTTTTGGGAGGAGGCTCTTATTTTTTTTCAGGTTGGAAATTGCAAAGGGGGGGGGGGGGTATATGAGCAGGAGTGCTTACTAGGGTGAATATGGTACTAAGCGAGACTCAGTGTAGTGCATATAGTAAAATCCCTTTAAGAGGATATACTGTACATGTATTCATGAACCTGATGAATTATTTCAGCTCCAAGTGTAGCCAATGTCCAAGCAGCCATAGAACATATTTTCCCTTTAGTCTCTGAATTCAAAGCAGAAGACAAGGATACAGATAAAAATGTTATAGATAAAGAAATAAGATTTATGCAGAAACAGCGAAACTCACTCCAACCAGCTAAACCTGTGTCTAGATATGAAGATTTCGAAAAAGTAGAAATGTATGACACCGATTACAGTGACGATGAAGAATTTAACAGTGATGAAAGTCAAGACTGAGCGTTTAGTTTCAAAATTGAAAGTACAAATTTGTGAAAGTGAAAGTCGTGATCAAGCTCACCAGTGTGCTCCTATGAGTGATGTTACTTTGGCATTTTTAACTTTACAGTGTATACTCCTGTGTGTGGTCCCAACAGTTGATAAAAAAAATTGTGTTCATTATTTATTCATGGAGTTTGCATAATTTTTTAGACTGTCCATCCATTTGAAATTTGAGAAGACTCATGTTCAGTATTTTAATATGCAATTTAATAATAACATGATTGACAAAGTGATTTGTTTTGATGTGTTGATGTTTGTTTTGAATTAAGGGAGTGATTGTTTAAATGTAAGGAAGTTTCATGCATTTGTGTTTATTATCACATGTGAATGGCATTAATCTCACAATTTTGTTGATATCATAAAAGCAGACTTCTGTAAATAAGTGATGTTTACTTATCTATGTATATTTCTCGATTGATTCAATCCGTACAGTGCTAAATAACATATACTAATGCACAAAACCTTTGCCAAATATTTAAATTGTCTTCTTTGTATATGTATGATAAAAAATTTAGTGACATTTCATTATGAAATGATGCTTCTTTTCTTAAGATAGCAAAAAAAGTTCTTATTTACAATTTATAATTGAAGGAACAAGTGATTCATTTATATCATTGAGCAGTGGAAGTTTTTAGAATTGCATTAATTATCTTTGTCAATGTCTAGCAGTTAGCACTTTGTATCAGCTAGTAGTCCTTATTTTGTAAAGGATAGATGTTAGGAGGGTTTATTTCAAAGAAAAGTACTTGTTTATATATAAATAAGCTCACACGTGTTCAGTATCAATTTTGTTCAAAATTCTCAGTGATTTTTCCTGTCACTTAAATGACATGTAATAACATGCCACAGTTAAGGCCCATTAATTTTGTTCTTTAAGAAAGTAAAACCAAGAGAACAATTTTTTAAATAAGTTTGATTTAAGTGTGCCATAATTAATTATTCGTTGTTTATTCTTGTCCCCTTATACATGTACATTGCTTTATTCAATATTATTGTCCTGTATAATTTTTTACAGGAAAAATATTATCTACATAGCTTGTCCAATCACTAAATAATTCTTTGATGGTTTATACATAAATGATATGATGAAGTTTTCAGGGTACAATCGATATTGTAAACATTTGCTATAACATCAGCTCAGTATACATATATACAGGAAAATTTTCACCCTTATTTTCACAATTGGCAAGTGTAAAAATGGGACAATTTATACATATGTATATTTATATAATTTTAAGATCAAAAATCAAATGGAGGGGAAAATTACACATATTAATCATTTTTGCATCTTTAGTTTGTGCATATTGCTGTTGTATCAATATTTACTGTGTGGGAGCACTCCAATTACATGTCCATAAGCAAAATGTGACAACACATTACATGTATGTACAATGATTTTACTTATATTTATAGTTCTAATCAAAGTTTGAAAATGCAGTATTTATATAAAACTGTACAGAAATATGCACTATTGATATCAACCCCCCCCCCCCCCCCAAAAAAAAAAAATTTAAGTACAATATCTATTCATGATCTTTTATGTTTGGTGCACTTTTTTTTTTTTTTTTTTAAGTATATTCATATATTAGTTAAAGAGCTGTAATTTTACATAAGAATATGTGCAGTGTTTTGATGAAAGACTTTTTTCCTTCCAAAATTAATTGCTAAAATCATTGTTTATTTTCATTTTATGTTTTGCATTTGCAAAGACTGGAAACTTTGGAATAAAGATTCTTATATTGATTACATGCTGTATATCTTTGTTACCGTAATCCATTGGAGGGGAAAAATACTTTAACCCAAATCATATATTGTTATTAAATGGTCAGTAATACAACAGCTGTATTAGTGATTTTGACATCCAATAACACTGTTTGTTTTTGAGTGGAGTGAGCTATCCCAATTTCATTCAAATTGAATATGTAGATGGGGAAAATCTTTGAAATCCTTCTCATAGATGTAGAACAATAAATTTATTGCATAGAAGTGCCAAAGGGTATTGATTGCATGTTGTGACCTTTATTGAGGTTTATCATTAACTGTGAATGGGACATTGTCCTCCCCTGCTGATGCCCTACCTTTCTGTGGGGTACAGGCAGGAACAGGGCACATGGTACAGCGAGTCATATCATCCAGTAAACAGCAACTTATACTAGAGTCTACTATGTTTGAATGGATCATAATGGTGCTTTTGTTTGAATCTGAAAGTTGGTTCTTTCATACTTATTTCTATATAGATCAGTTGGGCATTTTAAGCATATAATTTTTAGTATCTTTAATGTAAAAAATATAATGTAAATACAGTTAATGTCTCATGTTGATGTACATCATCTCTGCTACCAACTTTTCAGTTGTACATGTATATATGTTTTTGTATGTTTGACTTGTTCACATCTGTAGTTTTATGATGCATTTAAGGTTCACATACATTTCTGTGTATTGGAATAAATATTTTTCACCCTTGCAGTAATTATTGTTATTTTTAGCTGGGTGAGAAAAAACATTTGGATGGATACAAATATCTTAAGGGGCTTCTTTACTGGCCATGAACTATTCAAATTTCTAAATATTTGTATGGCATGGCTTTCATATCATAAGGTAACATTACTGGAATAATTTTCAAATACCTCAGTAAGTATAAGGTAGCCATAGGTCAGGGTCAAATTTTCACTATGGAAACAACTTTCTGTCAGATGTTTTGTTAACTTGATGTTTTTGGGGCATCGGGGTTCCATGTTCATATAACTTTCAGAACCCTCACCCATCACATTTACCTTGCTTATTAAAGGCCCAAATTATACCTAGTAAGAATATCAACTTTTTAGTGTATGTTTTATAATTTTGGGCTATGTCTTTGAGCACAGCTTTCAGAATTGGATGGAACTGTCAGTTTAAAATGCAAAGCTGGTCGTCAAGTTAAGGTTAACTGACCCTCTGATAAAACTCAATTTTCATATTGTACATAACTCTCTTGCTGTACACTTAAAAGACTTTGCCAGTTGTGCTACATGAACTGTCAGTTCATGTTTTTGTTCATGACCTACCTGCCAAATATGTAAATCGGGGATAAAATAGCAATTAGTTATACCCCACTTCACCACCATAAACTGAGAATAGACTTAAGTCAAAATTTCAAAACAATATAACTTTTCAAATTATTTTGATAAACGAAATTTTCATGGTGTGTCCGTATTTAAATAATGCACAAATCTGCACATTTTTAAACATGTATCTGATATAAATATCAAGGTATTCAAAGTCAAAATTTGGACGAAGTCTATTCTCAGTTTATGGTCTTGGAGCCAGATCTATTCTTATCCTTTGCAAGAAGTTTGTCTTAGGCCAAATAAAAAAATATGTGTGGTTCCGGTTACCCGACCTTCCCTATTTTATACCCCCGACCCTAAACTTTTTTTTTTAGCAATTTTCATATTTTTTCCGGAATTTCCATCAATGGCTCCAGTTTAAGTTTTAGTTTCAGCAATGACGACCTCCTTGCAAAACATAGTGCAAGTGTTTAATAGTGTTAAATCCAAAGCAAGCTAGCATGTAGGTGTCCCCTACCAATATTGACTAGTATATTATCACACCACATCTAAATGCCATTTGCAAAGCAGTGATAGGTATTATTTAGAAAAAAATCAAGAAAATCATTTTGTAAAAAAAAAAAAAAAAAAAAAAAAAAAAAAATCCCTACCTACCTACCCTAATTTTTTTGGAAGTGTAACCGGAACCACACATATTTTTTTGTTTGGCCTTAAACTAAATTAAATCGTACCGGTAATTTGGAGAGAAACTAGATTTTACTAGACTTGACACTAAAGAGATAAAAATGAATGAGTACAACTCGGGGGAAAATTGAAACTACTTCTGGAAACACAAATTAAAACATAGGTAATCAAAGATTACAAAGCTTACTTTGAAGAATGTTATCCATAAGTAAGGCCAATCTCGCATTAATTTTTTTCTAGTTTGTGTGCATCCTTAGATCAACATCCATGCAAGTTTGATTTAAGTAGGACATATAGTTACTTTGGATTGGACCTGCCCCAAAAACTTTTACCTGTTCACTCATTCATAAAAAAATATAGGTTAGTTCCAACATCCAAAGCAAGTCTTGTAATGTCCATCCCTTATTGCATCATCCATGCAAGTCTCATCAAAACGGGCCATATACACGAAAGAGTTATGGCTAAGTAAAGATGTTTCTATGCAAATGAACTAATTAAAATGCGTAAGGGCTATACCCATCGTACAGAAAAAGTTAAATCTCGTTTTTTAATTCAAACTTGGTACCCACGACATGTGATAGCCAGTGCACATTATGACGTCATATAAAGATGTCATCATTCTCTACTACACAAGTTTATAAGGAGCATCAACAAAATAGCTTCCGTGCAAGGGCATACCTTATTTTGTTTTGCAGAAACAAGATATAAATAGAAGCAGGACATTCCAAGGACTTATGATATTGCTGCACAAATGTCGACAGTGCAACTGTTTAGTTACTGTTCATTAAGTTTTGAGTTAAAACAAGGCAAAAATTCACAGTCTGGTGCAAGTTTTTCTTAATTTTTTATCAAATGAGAAAGTGCATAGGATTTGTGCAGCAATTTTATTAATTTTTAGAATGTTCTTCTTAATATTATACATTATTTATTTAAAATTAAATAGGATATGCCCTTGCGCTGATGCTGTTTTGTTGATGATTGTGTTTTATTACCTTGAGTGGTAAAGAACATGACGTCATTATGTGCACTAGCTTTAATATGTTCTGCGTACTAAGTATGTATAAGAAAATAAATTTTAACTTTTTCTTTATAAAAGATATACATCTTATGCATTTTTATTAGCTCATTTGAATAGAAATGTCTATACCTAGCCTCAATTCACTTGCATATAGAGCTACTCCAAAAACAATACCCTGGTCAATCATTTGGAAATTATAGACTGATGAGATCCAGCATCCAAAGCAAGTCTGGTGTCCATCCCGAGATACATCACCCATGCTAGTTTGGTTAAGGTAGGGCAACTATTCACTAATCTGGAAAATATAGGTCAGACCCACCATCCGAAGCAGAAGACAGTGTTCATGCCTTGATGCATTATCCATGCAAGTTTGGTTCGGGTAGGTCTTAAAAATACGTAAGAATGGACCTTTAACCTTGTCACTCATCTTGAAAATGTAGGTCAGATCCAGCATCTGAAGCAAGTCGGGTAGTGTCCATCCCTAGATGCATCATCCACACAAGTTTGGTCCAGGTAGGTCTTATAGTTCTTTTGGAATGGACTTGCTCCTAAAACTTTAACCGGGACACTCATGCTTACACCTACGGTATAACATAAGCTCATCTTGACTTCATTGAGGTGAGCTAAAATTAACTCCAAAGTGAAAAGTTGAAATTATGTTTGAATATTTTGATGAAATATGTTATGTCCATGACCTTTGTAACAGAAAATTGAATGAATGAAGGACATTTTTAAGCAAGAAAAGTACTGTAACAGTCATCTATCATATAAATACTGCATGTAGTTGAGGGTTCAATGTTACATTCATACATACATTCAATGAATTATAACTGAAAGAATCTTTTGCTTTCATCCCACAATATGAAGAAAATACCTGTATAAACTAGAAATATGTCCATAGGACATAAATGCCCCGCCGAGGGTATATTAGTAATGCAACATGAAAATTTGTATTAGTGTATGAAATTTGATGAGAATATCTTGAATAGTTTTTTAAAAATTGAAATTGAAATCTAAAAAGTTGGATATAGATAATAAATTTTTACCAAATTATGTATAAGTGCATAAACTTACATAAATATATCTTAAATGGTTTCTTTAAAATTAAGCAAAATGCAAATTTAAGTCAAATAAGGTCAAGGTCCCAGAAAAGTTCAAGGTCAAATGTTTTTGATGAAGTTGAATAGTTCTCATAAATATGTATCAGCATATTAAGTTTGATAAAAATATATTGAATGGTTTATTTAAAACTGAGCTAATCACTAATTTAAAATAAATGAAGTCAAGGTCAAATGAAAGGTCAAGGACAGAAAATGTTGATGCAGTTGAAAAGGTTACATCAGTATGTATTAGCATATGAAGTTTGATAAAAATATTATGAATAGTTTCTTTAAAACTGAGCTAAACACTAATTTAAGAAAAGTGAGGCCAGGGTCAAAGGAAAGGTCAAGGTCAAAAAATATTGATGCAGTTGAATAGCTCTCATCAGTATGTATCAACATATGAAGTTTGACACTAATTTAAGAAAAGTGAGGTCAAGGTCAAAGGAAAGGTCAAGGTAAAAAAAATTTTGATTTAAAACTGAGCTAAACACTAATTTAAAATAGATGAAGTCAAGGTCAAATGAAAGGTCAAGGACAGAAAATGTTGATGCAGTTGAAAAGGTTACATCAGTATGTATTAGCATATGAAGTTTGATAAAAATATTATGAATAGTTTCTTTAAAACTGAGCTAAACACTAATTTAAGAAAAGTGAGGTCAGGGTCAAAGGAAAGGTCAAGGTCAAAAAATGTTGATGCAGTTGCATAGCTCTCATCAATATCTATCAGCATATGAAGTTCAATAAAAATATCTTGGATAGTTTCTTTGAAACTGAGCTTTGAACAGAGCTAAATGCAAAGTGTGACGGAAGGACAGACAGAAGGACGGACATGACAAACACTATATGCCCCAGCCATATTCATGGCGGGGCATAAAAAGGATAATCTGTGAAAGTTATCTTAGAAAGAGGGTTTTTTCCTTCTTATTATTTATGATCCTTATTTTGTTTTATCCATTATAATATATATATAATATTATAATATATATATCATAAGAGTAGACTGCACTCAAAAATTTAAAACACCTAAAACTATCAGCATGGTTAATGAAAAATACATGGAGAAATACTTTTCATCAAAATATTCAAACATAATTTCAACTTCTCACTTTGGAGTTAATTTTTAGCTTACCATGATGAAGTCAAGATGAGCTTATGCTATACCGTAGGTGTTAGAATGGGCGTCCCAGTTAAAGTGATTCACTGTCTTAGTTGTTGGGTATGCCAAGATATCGACGACAGTTGGAAACATAGGATAATTTGTATAACGGGCAAAGCCAATCTTCTTATATGTAGGGGTAGAATAAGGTGAGGTATCGGAAAGAATTATGGCTTGAATATGGAGAAAAGTGAAACAAGCTGTACAGTAATGTACAGTTAGTGTACAAAATGACTGTAAATCCTGTCAGTAAAATCTGTACTATCATGCAGATAAAGACAAAAAGAAGCTTTCCTGTAAATTTTTTATTCAGATCACAAAAAATAACATGGATGAGACATAGACATAATTTTTAAGTAAAAACAAATCAGTGTATAATAATCATGTATAAGCAAAGCACAATATTATCACTACTATCCTGATGCATTTTATGTATAAATATATGTATACAGATTGTAAATTATCACTGTGTGAAAGATTAACTTCACTGGAAATATCTGAGACATTTTTGAGTGACTTGTCAAAGAGATTAATTTGATTAATTTAATTTTTAATCAAGTTAAAATAAGACATACAATGAATTTGCATTGGATGTTTACATGTACTTATGTATGATGTCATATGATGTCATACTTTAAAATCATCTCTTCTCATTCAAGTCTTATGCATATGGTAAAGTTCACATATTTATAGGAATTTTATACAAACTGGCCCTTCAACATACAAGACAAATTTTACATAATATTGATTTTGGCATTAAAATTGACATTCAAATACATTTATTGATTGAAGTGAAACATTTTACTTCCTAGAAACATTATCATTTAAAACATTATAGTTTAGATACTTAACTGACAGTTTATATTAAATTCCATAGATTTAAATATTTAAAATGAGGATTAAAAGTAAATCAAAATAATAATGTTGAGACTGTAGCTCTACTGGTTTGTACTTATAACAAAGGAAAAGAAAAGTAACACTTGGACTTGAAACTTTGAAACAGCAATAAATAGAATATTAAATGATCCTTGATTTAGTCTCTTTTTGTGGCAGGATTGCAATCAGACTAAAACTGTAGAAAGAGTAACCTTTTAAAAGAATTTTATGGAAATTAAGATTTTAGTAACCATGGCAACATCATTCAACAAAATCAACAACAATAAAGACAATTATGTATCTCAGTATAGTTTACTTGTGTGCCAAGTTACATTGAAATCAGACCAAAACTGTAGGAGGAGTAGCATTTTGAAAGTATTTCTAGAACATTTCTATTTTTAGTAACCATGGCAACACCCAGACCTGGGATCAATTACTTTGAAATGTAATGAATTAAATTACAATTACTTTGGAATTTTTACCATTACAATTACCATTACCATTACTCTCATTTAGAAAAGTAATTCATCAAAATCAAAAACAGAGAATTATGTATCTCAGTGTAGTTTACTTGTGTGCCAAGTTAAACTAAAGTAAGACCAAAACTATAGGAGGAATAGCATTTTGAAAGTATTTCAAGCAAATTTCAATTTTTAGAAACCATGGCAACACCATTATCGAAATCAAAAACCAATATACAGAGTTATGTATCTTAGTGTAGTATACTTCTGTGCCAAGTAATACTGAAATCAGACCAAAACTGTAGGAGGAGTAGCATTTTGCAAGTTATTCACAGAAATTTCTGTTTTTAGTAACCATGGCAACACCGTTTATTGAAATCAAAAACCAATACACAGAATTATGTATCTTCCTGTATTCTACTTGTGTGCCAAGTTATATTGAAATGAGGCCAAAACTGTAGGAGGAGTAGCATTTTGAAAGTATTTCCCAGAAATCTCTATTCTTAGTAACCATGGCAACACTGTTCATTGAAATCAAACACTAATATACAGAATTATGGACTTAGTGTAGTCTACTTATGTGCCAAGTTATATTGAAATCAGACCAAAACTGTAGGAGGAGTAGCCTTTTGAAAAATTGTTTATAGACGGACGGACAACAGACACCTTACTATCGCATAAGCTCTTCTGGTCTCTGACCAATAGAGCTAAAAAATCAATGTATAGAATTTAAAAAAAAAAAACATTTGATTGTTGCTTTGTTGTTTGGATTTCCTGTTCTACAATGATTTAATCTCTAGCTTTTCTGTTCACTTTGTCGTACACCTCTGGAAATGCTTCTTCACAGCCAAGCTCTTTTCTCATTTTATCATACAGAGTGTGATCAAACATTTTCCTGAATTCCTCTCTGGTTAAGTAGCTATCAGCATACAGCATCTGAAACCTGAACAGTTACATCTACATGTATTTTAATCCATTTTATTTTTAAAGATTTTTACATCATATTTTTAAAGAAATGCATACAGATTCAAATTAATTTTTATTTCTAAAAGAACCTTGACAGACACCTGACTATCATGAGTTTTCTGTGAACAACTCAGCCCCATCTGAGATTAGAACTCAGGACACACGTGACTTAAATTTTACAATTTGATAGAGGAATCTTTGTTCAATTGTTATCATATGGGGTTTGTCTCTTAGATGATGAAACATAAACATAGGTACTAGTAATCAAAGATTATAAGCACATCTTAACAAATGTTATCTATAAGTGAAGGCAATATCTCTCACTGAATGTTCTGGTAGTGTGCATATCTAGATGCAACAACCAGCTTTATAGTTAACTGGAATGAACCTGCTCCAAAAACTTTAACTTGGTCGTTCATCTAGAAATGCAGGCCAAATGCATATCTGGTAGTGTGCATCCCTAGATACACCATGCAAGTTTGGTCCAGGTAGGGCTTATAGTTACTTGGAAACAAACCTGCTCTAAAATGTATGTCAGATCAGCACCTCAAGCAAGTCTGGTAGTGTGCATCCCTAGATGCATTATCCAGGCAACTTTAGTCCAGGTAGGGCTTAAAGTAATTGGGAATGGACATGCGCCAAAATGTACATCAGATCTAGCATCTTGAAGCAAATCTTAAGTGTACATCCCTATATGCATCATCGATGCAAGTTTGATCACTAAAGGGCTTATACTTACTTGGAAATGGACCTGCTTTAAAATGTAGGTCAGATCCAGCATCTGAAGCAAGTCTGGTAGTGTGCATCCATAGATGCATCATCCATGCAAGTTTGGTCCAAGTAGGGCCTATAGTTACTTGGGAATGGACCTAGCATCTGAAGCAAGTCTTGTAGTGTGCCTAGTTGAAACAGTTCACCTGCTAGACATCCTTGGGTAAATAAGATTTTCAAAACTGTAATGTATTTCAATATATGGCCAACTTAGCCCCATCCTGGGCCTGATGCATGGACCGAGTGAAAATTCATTTCACACTTTTTGTAGAGTACTAACTGCTTATTATACTCTTGCAAATTAATTAGCATCCTAGATGCTAATGAGTATAGAAAAACATTTTTGAAGAATGCATGAATGTTATGGTGTTTGCCCAACCCCTTAGATCTTTGGGAGCTGGGACAATGAAATGGGAAAGTTTTGTTTCTCTTCATTCACAGATTCTTTACAACAAAAATCGGTTGAAATTTGTCCAGCAATTAAAGAGAAGAAGCTGAAAATGTTTAAAAGTTTATGAATGACCCATAGATTATCTGAAAGACTCAGGTGACCTAAAAATATTGGAGCAAAGTTCTTGCTAAGTAATACAAAGATAGTAAATGATTTATGGGCCACAAAGCATGGAATTTTTGTGTTCAATCTAAGAAGAATGTACATCACCCACCCTCTAGCTCTGATGACATAGTTCTCCAAGGCTCTGGTTGTCTTAACAGCTTCCCATGTGCTGGATTTGGGGGAACCATAGGCCCCAATGTCAACATACATCTGGCTCTCTTTCTTAGCTGGATGAACCATGCCAGGTTGGTCATACAACATGAAAGGACAAAGCCAAAGGGGGTACATCTGGGACAAAACAGAAAATTAACATACATGTACTTTGTATGATACATTTTCCATTCAAATGGTCACAAGAAAAGTCTTACTTTTGAAAAGTTTTTGAAAGTATGAAGTCTTATGAAGTATGAAAGCAGGATTTTAAATCTACTCACAAATGACTTTATGATATCAAGCTTTGGATATTAAATAGATAGCTATCATATAGCAGACTTTTATAACTTTCAAGCAAAAACTTTTCCCTAGATTGATGATCGTCAATGGCTATTAAGAGAAAGCACCTCTCTACATAAAAATATACACTGTACCTTAATCTCCTTCTCAAACACTTCCATAGCCTCCAGTAATTTGTCAAAGGGAACCAGCATGTCTTGGATAATCTGATATTTCTCGTAGAGTTTCTTGGTTGTCTCCCCTTGGGTTAATTTCAACAGTGAGATTTTGGGAGGAACAGCCCAGCCAAACAAATATCTGAAGATGGGGTTGTTTCCAAATGGAATTATGTCCTGAATTATAAGTGTTGATCTCATAAGAATGTATGCATGACAAGTACTCAAACCAAAATAATTTTTTTTTCCCATCGTAATTCTATACTGACCTCAAGTTGAACACTTCCTGACACTATATTTACCTGTAGTTCCCAGAATATGCTCCTAGTGTGTCTATGGTAGTAATGTCTGATAGGAATATATTCTACAGCTGGTCCCGTAGTCAAGAATCCCTCTACATGTTTAAAGAACCATGGCTTCCAAAAGTATCCAATGGGGTTTATCTACATGTACATAAAAATTGTTAAATTTCAGAAATATCTCCATTCCTACTATGTTTCATCATAAAATATAATAAATAATGCAAATTATTCCCTAAAGAAATATGTGGATGACAATACCCCATCACTGGCCCTAAGTCGTGACATATTCCTCAAATATACATCTGTTAAGTCTTTCTATACAGATCTGACAGATCCCCCCAAAAAATTTATCAACAACAATCCATCCACAGTAGAATAAAAAATACTTCATATTCAAATCAAAATATGGTTACTCAGTAGGTATTGATATTCCTTTCTGTTCTGTTAGACTATGTAATTCAATACAAATTCTACCAGACTTTACCATGGTCAGCCTCAGAATATACATGTAAAAATTACAATGTAATCACTTTGTCAGGTTCTGCCTGGTCTGTGAAGTTTCCGGTCATCACCACTGCCTTGTCCAGAGAGTATGCCAGCGTCTCCACAAATTCATTGTTCTCCTTCAGCATCGTCTGCTCCTGGAATTTCTCCACCATATCTTCCTTGGAATGCACTGGGAAATATTCCATCTTTACATACTTCTTGGATGGAATGATTTTGATTTCGGCAGACACTAGTAAGCCAAGTGTCCCATACGACCATGGAACTGCATAAAACAGATCAGGATTCTCGGTCTGAAATGTGAATTAAAAAATCTTGCCAAATTTTACAGACATCAATATTTTATTCAAAAAAATGAAAACTAGTAGACTAATTGTTCTCGAACAATTAGAGGTCTTTCCACCTTCTTTAAATTTCATATATTTTTCATATTTAACTCTCTATTGTTTTATTTTTATACAAAAGAAACAAGAAATGGCTTGAGAAATGGAAAAAATGAAATTTAAAAAAAAAAAAATTGAATGACCTTGACCTTTGACCTTGAACAATTATTTAAGTTCATAAGTCAAGGGTCACATTGCACTTGACCCCATGCTTCTACGACTTTTAGTTTTAAAGTTATAAGGTTTAATAGTAAGAGGAAAGACGTTAAAGGGCGATAACTCATATAAGGGGTCATCAGATCCTTTCGCACTGAATAGATTGAAGTTGTGTCTAAAGGCCCTGAGGACATAAGTGAAGGTTTCGTGTCTCTGCGGTTTACGGTTTCGGAGTAGTAGCGATAACAAGGTTTTCAGTGAAAGGGGCAATAACTTTTGAAAGGGTAAATCTTAGGGGACAAGTATGAAATCTTTGAAATAATTTTAAGAGGACATATTAAAGATGCAAAGAGATTTAGTATATAATGAAAGACAAAAGAGATATAAAAAGAGCTTAATTTCTCAAATTTTGAATGACCTTGACCTTTGACCTTTACAAAAATTTCAAGGTCTGAGGTCAAAGAATCTAATGCAGTTGGTTCCATGTCTCTATGACTTATCGTTTTGAAAATTTTTCATTATTTGTAAACTTCAAAAACTTTCAGGGGCAATAACTCATTGAAGGGGTCGACAAATCATTTCGCAATGAATAGATTGAAAAGTCCTCTCAAGTAGTCAAAGACATTGGTGAAGGTTCTGTATCTCTACGATTTACGGTTTCGAAGGAGTAGCGATAACAAGCTATTCTTGCGAAAGGGGCAATAACTTCGTAAGAGGTCATAGGTCAAACACGTTGGGTCGTTTTTCGGAATAACTTGTAATATCCAGTATCATGAACTATAAAGTTTTTTGATAAGTCTTGCGGTTTCAAAAGTCCGGGAAGAAAAAGAATAATAACTAGGAGACTAATTGTTCAGAGAACAATTAGAGGCCTTTCCACCTTTTTAAGTGTTTCCGTGTCATTTGGGTTGAGAAAAAGTAGAAAAATGCAAAAAATGCAAAAAAAAAAAAAAAAAAAAAAAAAATTGCTCCTCCAGCAGGGTTCGAACCCAAAACCCTTGGATTGAAAGGCAGGTGCGCTAACCATTCGGCCACGCATTCTGATATCCTTCATAAGCTAATTGTTTAAGACTACAGAAGAAATGCAAGCCTATTTTTAGAATCGGTAGGGGGAAGAAAGAAGTTCCGTAAAAGGAAATAGTTCCTGAATTTGCAAGCAGTATATAAAATAACTAGTAGACTAATTGTTCTCGAACAATTAGAGGTCTTTCCACTTTCTTTGAATTTCATATATTTAGGTCTTTCCACCTTTCTGTGGAAAGACCTATTGAAATTGTTCTGTTTATTAGGTCTTTCCACCTTTCTGTGGAAAGACCTATTGAAATGCTTATGTTTATTATTATTATTATTATTTTTCCGTTACCGCCTTTTGAACCGAAAGACTTTTCGAAGAACTCTATAGTTCATGATACTCGACATCAAAAGTTGTTTCGAAAAACTACCCAACGAGTATGACCTATGACCCCTTTCGGAGTTCTTGCCCTTTGAACGAAAAACCTTGTTATCGCTACTCCTTCGAAATCATAAACCGCAGAGGTTCGAAACCATTACCAATGTTTTTGACTACTTGAGAGGACTTTTCAATCTTTTCATTGCGAAATGATTTGTCGAGCCCTTTAATAAGTTATCGCCTCTGAGATTTTTTGGTGTTTACGAATAATGAAAAATTTTCTTAACGATAAGTCGTAAAGAAATAGGACCAACTGCATAAGATTCTTTGACCTTAAACCTTGAAGTTAAGGTCAAGGTCAAAGGTCAAGGTCATTCAAAATATAAGAAAATTAGCTCTTTTTATAGCTCTTTTGTCTTTCAACATATACTACATATCTTTGCATCTTTCATTTGTCCTTCTAAAACTATTTTAAAGATTTCATTCTTGTCCCCCAAGCTTGACCCATTCAAAAGTTGTCACCCCTTTCGCAATAAAACCTTGTTATCGCTACTCCTCTGAAACCGTAAAGCGTAGAGATTCCAAACCCTCATCAGTGTCTTCGACTCATTTAGTACACTCTTCAATCTATACAGTGCGAAAGGGTTCTTCGGCCCCTTCTATGAGTTACTGTCCCTGAAAGTTTTTGCTGCTTACATTTAATGAACTTTTTTTCAAAGGGTCTATCCTAGAGACATGGAACCAACTGCATGGGCATGTTTGACCTTTGACCTTGAAATGAAGGTCAAAGGTCAAGGTCATTGAAAACTATATAAATTGTTGATATCAGCTATTTATCTAAATGACCTTGACCTTTGACCTTGACCTTGAACGTTGACCTTTAACCTTTGACCTTGACACTGACTCAAAGGTAAAACAAAAAATCAGAACATGCATCTAGATTCATGTACATTTCAGTGTTGAACTCAGTTTAAAGCAAAGTTCTTTTTTTTCTTTTTTTTTTTTTAATGACCTTGACCTTTGACCTTTGACCTAAAGGTCACAATCAAGATTAAGTTCGTGGAGTTTGCTGCAACTGTTACTTTAAAATATGTTAGGAATAAATAAATAAATAATTCACCCCCCCCCCTTTAAAAAAAAATCAATAGCAACGTAGAAAATGTCTCTAAAACTCATACAACACCTCGGATCGACATAAGATTTTAAGCAACCGCAGGAAAGACTTCAAAAAAAAAAAAAAAAAAAAAAAAAAAAAAAAAGAAAGAAAAAATTTCCTGAAAGTTTTACGGTGAGTCTCTGAAGTGTAACGAAATTATGAATTTTATCGACAAATACTACATTTTTTTTAATCTGAAATTTAGGTGCTGATGAGCATAAAAATGAATTTAAGCTTTTATCGGCTATTTCTTCAGTTGTTATTAATAGCATTCGATTCTCCTGCTCTAATACAATATTTTAATACCAAGCATTCTTGATTTCTTTAGTATGTGGAATTTATTTCAATTTTATTTAGATTTAATATTAATGGAAAGAATCTCGAAAATAGCGATTTTTCCTATCAAATAAATTTCCACGCTCTCATTGACACCTTTTTTTCTTCCTGAAATGCATGTCTGAAATTTTAATTTATGCTAGTTACATTTAACTCAACCCACATAGAGATGTTTATTTAATCTTACCTATTATTTTGAATCGCCATATTCGGTCAAACCGAACGCGACATTTTTCATAAATTCGTAAACAAAGTCTCGGCACGGCAGTTCTAATGTATCCTAGGCTCTAGATGATTAACTCCATTTATTCAAAGTATAAACCAACTCAAATTTATTATATTTACAGAAAATCTGCTTTTTATTATACACCAATCGTGTTTCTCAAAACTATTTATTACTGATTACTACATTGGACAACAAACAAAAGGACACGTGCTCTTATATTCCTATTTATTCCTAAACAATATATTTACTACCTACATCTTCATCGGAGTGCGTGGCCTAATGGTTAGCGCACCTGCCTTTCAATCCAAGGGTTTTGAGTTCGAGCCCAGCTGGAGGAGCATTTTTTTTTTTTTTTTTTTTTTTGAGGGGGGGGGGGGCATTTTTCTTCTTTATTACAACCCAAATCTCACGGAAACACTTAAAAAGGTGGAAAGGCCTCTAATTGTTCTCTGAACAATTAGTCTCCTAGTTATTATTATTATTATTATTTTTCTTCCGCTGATTTTTTGTTTCAAGGTTTATCGAAAAGATTTTTTGTTCATCGTAAAAGTCATAAAAAGTTATGAACAAATTTGACCCAACGCATATAACCTATGACCCCTTTCACAGTTATTGCCCCTTTCGCTAGAAACCTTGTTATCGCTACTCCTCCGAAACCTTAAACCGTAGAGGTAGGAAACCTTCACCAATGTCTTCAACTAACTGAGTACTCTCTCCAATCTATTCACTGAAAAAGTATTCGTCAACCCCATTACTGAGTTATTGCCCCTGAAAGTTTTTGAAGTTTACAAAAAATGAAAAATTTTCAAAACGATAAGCCGTAGAGACATGAAACTAACTGCATTAGAATCTTTGACCTTGGACCTTGAAATTTATGTCAAGGTCAAAGGTCAAGGTCATTCCAAATATGAGAAATAAAGCTCTTTTTATAGCTCTTTTGTCTTTCAACATATACAGTATATCTTAACATCTTTAATATGTACTTTTAAAACTATTTCAAAGATTTCAATCTTGTCCCCTAAGCTTAACCCTTTTAAAAGTTATTGCCCCTTGTGTGAAAAACCTTGTTATCGCTACTCCTCTGAAACCGTGAACCGCAGAGACACGAAACCTTCACTGATGTATTCAGGGTCTTTAGACACAACTTCAAACTATTCAGTGCAAAAGTATCCGGTGACCCCTTATATGAGTTATCGCCCATTAACGTCTTTGCGCTTACTGTTAAACCTTCTAACTTTAAAACTTAAGGTTGTAGAAGCATGGGGTCAAGTGCAATGTGACCATTGATTGTTGACCTTGAATATTTGTTCAAGGTCAAAGGTCAAGGTCATTCAAAATTTTTAAAAAATTTCATTTTTTTCTATCTTTCAAGCCATTTATGGATTCTTTTTGTATAAAAATTAACTCCAGAGAGTAAAAAAAAAGAAATATATATGAAATTTAAAGAAGGTGGAAAGACCTCTAATTGTTTGAGAACAATTAGTCTACTAGTTTTCATATTTTACTCTCTAAAGTTAATTTTTATACAAAAAGAATCTATAAATGGCTTGAAAGATAGAAAAAATGAAAATTTTCAAAATTTTGAAATGACCTTGACCTTTGACCTTGAACAAATATTCAAGGTCAAAGGTCAAGGGTCACATTGCACTTGACCCCATGCTTCTACGACTTTTAGCTTTAAAGTTATAAGGTTTAATAGTAAGCACAAAGACGTTAAAGGGCTATAACTCATATAAGGGGTCATCGGATACTTTCGCACTGAATAGATTGAAGTTGTGTCTAAAGACATTTAAGACATTAGTTAAGGTTTTGTGTCTCTACGGTTTACGGTTTCGGAGGAGTAGCGATAACAAGGTTTTCAGTAAAAGGGGCAATAACTTTTAAAGGGGTAAATCTTAGGGGACAAGTATGAAATCTTTGAAATAGTTTTAAGAGGACATATTAATGATGCAAAGATATTTAGGATTTGTTGAAAGACAAAAGAGATATAAAAAGAGCTTAATTTCTCATATTTTGAATGACCTTGACCTTTGACCTTTGCATATTTTTAAGGTCAAAGGTCTATGAATCTTATGCAGTTGGTTCCATGTCTGTACGACTTATTGTTTTGAAAATTTTTAATTATTTGTAAGTTTCATAAACTTTCAGGGGCAATAACTCATAAAAGGGGTTGACGAATACTTTCGCAATGAAAAGATTGAAGAGTCCCCTCAATTAGTCAAAGACATTGGTGAAGGTTTCGTACCTCTACGGTTTACGGTTTCGAAGGAGTAGCGATAACAGGCTATTCTTGCGAAAGGGGCAATAACTTCGTAAGAGGTCATGGGTCAAACACGGGGGGTCGTTTTTCGGAATAACTTTTAATATCCAATATCATGAACTATAAAGTTTTTCAATAAGTCTTGCAGTTTCAAAAGTCCGGGAAGAAAAAGAAGAATAATAATAATAACTAGTAGACTAATTGTTCTCGAACAATTAGAGGTCTTTCCACCTTCTTTAAATTTCATATATTTTTCATATTTTACTCTCTAAAGTTAATTTTTATACAAAAAGAATCCAGAAATGGCTTGAAAGATAGAAAAAATGAAAATTTTCAAAATTTTGAAATGACCTTGACCTTTGACCTTAAACAAATATTAAAGGTCAAAGGTCAAGGGTCACATTGCACTTGACCCCATGCTTCTACGACTTTTAGTTTTAAAGTTATAAGGTTTAATAGTAAGCGCAAAGACGTTAAAGGGCGATAACTCATATAAAGGGTCATCGGATAGTTTTGCACTGAATAGATTGAAGTTGTGTCTAAAGACCCTGAAGACATTAGTGAAGGTTTTGTGCCTTATAAGGATTAATAATAAGCGCAAAGATGTTAAAGGGCGATAACTCATATAAGGGGTCATCGGATACTTTTGCACCGAATAGATTGAAGTTGTATCTAAAGATCCTGAAGACATTAGTGAAGGTTTTGTGCCTCTGCAGTTTACGGTTTTGGAGGAGTAGCGATAACAAGGTTTTCAGTAAAAGGGGCAATAACTTTTAAAGGAGTAAATCTTAGGGGACAAGTATGAAATCTTTGAAATAGTTTTAAGAGGACATATTAATGATGCAAAGATGTTTAGTATATGTTGAAAGATAAAAGAGATATAAAAACAGCTTAATTTCTCATATTTTGAATGACCTTGACCTTTGACCTTTGCATATATTTTAAGGTCAAAGGTCAATGAATCTTATGCAGTTGGTTCCATGTCTCTACGACTTATCGTTTTGAAAATTTTTCATTATACGTAAACTTCATAAACTTTCAGGGGCAATAACTCATTGAAGGGATCGACAAATCATTTCGCAATGAATAGATTGAAAGGTCCTCTCAAGTAGTCAAAGACATTGGTGAAGGTTCTGTATCTCTACGGTTTACGGTTTCGAAGGAGTAGCGATAACAAGCTGTTCTTGCGAAAGGGGCAATAACTTTGTAAGAGGTCATAGGTCAAACACGGGGGGTCGTTTTTCGGAATAACTTTTAATATCCAGTGTCATGAACTATAAAGTTTTTCGATAAGTCTTGCGGTTTCAAAAGTCCGGGAAGAAAAATAATAATAATAATAATAATAAACATAAGCATTTCAAGAGGTCTTTCCACAGAAAGGTGGAAAGACCTAATAATAAACATAAGCATTTCAAGAGGTCTTTCCACAGAAAGGTGGAAAGACCTAATAAGGGACGGGCTGCGTGAGAAAACGTTAACACTGTTCCCTAAGGAAAAAGTATTAATGGACTGTAGCCCGATTCATCGATATTGTGCGCATGTTGAATTTTTTGTTAATAGCTTTCTTGTAAGCTTAAAAGATCGGGTTCGGATTTTAACATTTCTGACTGAATATCCTGAAATAAATATGAAACATTTAAATAAGCATTTCTTTGGGTTAAATTAAATATGTGTATCACAAATTAAACTCCCAACATGCATTTTTAGAAGGGAAACACGACAATGAAAGCGAGAATTGTTTTTAATATACCGAAAATTGCTATTTCTGGAAACTGATTAATTCTAAATAAAAATCAAATAAATTCCAAATGTAAAAGAAAGAGAGAATGCTTGGTAATAAAATGTTGTATCATATCAGGAGAATCGAATGCTACTAACGATATCTGAAGAAATAGCCGATAAAAGGTTTAGATCATTTCTTCGTTCACCTGCACTTAAATTTCAAACACAACAGAACTTGTAGTTTTTGCCGTGAAACTTCAAGACTTTTATAAAATTATAGGACTCACCGTAAAACTCTCCAGAAAGTTTCTCTGAGGTCTATACTACATTTGTACCAAATCTGGTGTCGATCCGAGGTCTGGTTTGAATTCTAGAGTAATATTCTACGTTGTTGTTGATGTGATTTTTTTTTTTTTTTTTAAGAAGGGGGGGGGGGGGTGAATTATTTATTTTATGCCTCTTTTAAACTAAGAATTGTAACTACTTCCACATCCTTAAGCCTGATTGTGACCTTTGGGTCAAGGGTCAAAGGTCAAGGTCATTACCAAAAAAAAAACCAAACAAAAAACAAGAAACAAAAAGAAAAAAAAAACCAAGAAAACTTTACTTTCTATGGTTTTCCTGATACTGGAGCTGGATGCATGTCCTTACTTTTCCATTTGACCCAAGGTCAAAGGTCAAGGTCAAAGTTCAAGGTCATTTGCTGAATTGCCATATTGTACACATATATAAGGAATTTCTTATGTTTTTAAATGACCTTGACCTTTGACCTTGACCTATATTTCAAGGTCAAAGGTCAAATATGCCGATGTAGTTGGTCCCATGTCTCTAGGATACACCGTTTTAAAAAAAAGTTCATTAAATGTAAGCAGCAAAAACTTTCAGGGACAGTAACTGATAGAAGGGGCCGAAGAACCCTTTCACACTGTATAGATTGAAGAGTGTACTAAATGAGTCGAAGACACTGATGAAGGTTTGGAATGTCTACGGTTTACGGTTTCGGAGGAGTAGCGATAACAAGGTTTTACTGCGAAAGGGATGACAACTTTTGAATGGGTCAAGCTTGGGGGACAAGAATGAAATTTTTATAATACTTTAAGAAGGACATATTAAATATGCAAAGATATGTAGTATATGTTGAAAAACAAAAGAGCTATAAAAAGAGCTAATTTTCTTATATTTTGAATGACCTTGACCTTTGACCTTGACCTTAAGTTCAAGGTCTAAGGTCAAAGAATCTTATGCAGTTGGTCCCATGTCTTTACGACTTGTCATTTAGAAAAGTTTTTCATTATTCGTAAACATGAGAAACGTCCAGGGGCAATAACTCATAAAAGGGGTCGACGAATGCTTTCGCAGTGAAACCTTGAAGCGAGTACTCATTTAGTTGAAGACATTGGTTAAGGTTTCGTACCTCTATGGTTTATGATTTCGAAGGAGTAGCGATAACAAGGTTTTTCGTTTAAAGGGCAAGAACTCCGAAAGGGGTCATAGGTCATACTCGTTGGGTAGTTTTTCGAAATAACTTTTGATGTCGAGTATCATGAACTATAAAGTTCTTCGAAAAGTCTTTCGGTTCAAAAGGCGGTAACGGAAAAATAATAATAATAATAATAAACATAAGCATTTCAATAGGTCTTTCCACAGAAAGGTGGAAAGACCTAATAATAATAATAATAAACATAAGCATTTCAAGAGGTCTTTCCACAGAAAGGTGGAAAGACCTAAATATATATTTTTTTTAACTTAAGGATCTGAAAAGCAATCAGCCAAGTTAGGATCAATAAGGGATTGACAACCACTATAGAAAGAAAACATCTGGGCTTCTTTAATATTTTAAATATACTTTCCCCTCCTGTTGTGAAATACACAGTTGTCAGATTACTTAAAATACTATTTTTAATCAACAGATGCAAATTCACTATGAAAGATCTACAAAAGAATCAATATTTTATAATGTACCAGTATCTAAGTACAACATAATACAGATATAAAAGTCTGCTATTCATAAAGCCCAAGAATGAAGAATTGTGGGATAGGGATTTATTTTGCTAACAGTAGGGAATTACTTTTTTCTGAAGTTACTGACATTTTTAAATGAATTAGGGAGTGAAACAACATGACAAACACCTGAGGCTCTTACTGTTAGTATTTACAAGATAGCAGAATTTTTTCACCCATGGTGTATTAAACCATATTCAGATTATTATAAGAAGTGTTAAAAAAAACCCACACACTTTATACTAACGAAGGTACATGTACATTCTGTTTCAATATAAAAAATAATACATTTGAGCATGCTAACATCTGAATACCTTGGAGCATGTAACCACACTACCATCAGCCAGTACCAATTCATAGGACACACAGCAATGCTGAAATAGACCATGTTTGTGCGATGAGGTCTCTATCCCCACACCCATTATCAGACCACCTGTCAAGAAGATATCAAAATATAGTTTTAGAAAACATATTGAAAATATATGATTGCTGAATTGGTATTGATGGAAGCTTCTAAATTTTCATTTTCAAGAAAGCATTATTATACTGTGAGCTTGCCGAAAATGATAAAACACATCTTGAAATATATTTGAAAATCATTTTCATTAGCTCTGTTTTAATGTGTAATAATGTCTGACTATACAGACCCACTGTGAGGTCATCCAGTTCTGGCAGTACAGGAAGCGTCCATCCCAGGGGATTGAGGAATGATGTGACCTGCCCCATCGTTACCAGTGGCTCTACCCTCACGGTTCTCCTCGTCTCATCTATTTCAAGAATGTCAATCATGTTGACCTCAATATTCCTCAGCTGTTTTTTGTAAAGGCCTCTCCTAAAACTGACAGTTGCCCACCCAGGTCGGGCTGTACACATCTTGGTTTTCCTCCCATCTTTGTTCCATTGCTTAACCTTAATTACATCAAATGTCCTTACATCAAACACATTTTCTAACCTCACAAATCAGTGTAACCTGATTTAGTCGGGACTCAGGAATGTTTTGACTTTTTACTGAAATCCATCACCTCAGGTTTCATCAAAATAATGACAGTTGACATAATTAAACATGACTATAAATCCCATTTAAACACCATTAAAATAGTATTTTAAAAGATGTCTATTAGCATTCCTACCAAAATGGACAATTAACCTTTTTTTTGTTACAGTAAATACACACTTTACACAGAATCAAACAAAAGAGAAAAAGAATGTGCATGAAACTGGCTTTTGCATGAATATAAAATATGTGAATCATTTGAGAAAGGGGTGAAAAAAAATGTGGTAGACATTAATAAAGATAGTTAAAGTTGTAAAACTCATCTAAACACATTACAGTGTTTGAGAAACACATTTGGAAACTAGAAGAGAGACATCAGTATATACCGGGTAGGCATCCCTATTTGCTTGATTCATGCAGTTTTGGTAAGGCAAGGCTTTTAGATTCTTGGGATTGAACCTGCTGTGAAAATTCTAACTTTTCAATTAATCTGTTTTTAAAAGGTCTGATGCAGTGTCTAAAGCAGGAACTGTAGTAGACATTGTTAGACATGTTAGATATACATGTACTGTCAATTCAAGTTTGGCCCAGGGAGAGCTTAAGTTACTGTAAGTGGACTTGCTCTGATTTGTTCACCTCAGCACTATTAATCTGGAATATACTAAGGGTCAGATGCAGCATCCAAAACATGAAAGGTAGCAAGGATTCCTAGATGCATGATTAATACAAGATTACCTGGACTAGGCTTACTCTAATAAGCTTGTAACCTGTGGCACTAACAACAATTCAAGGCAAATGGTGCCAAATAGGTACCCAGACTGAGGATTCAAACTGAGAGATATAAGTATGTACCAACTGTTTGATCAATCATTCAGGTCCATCACTCTCTTGTGAGGTAAATGATAAAGATTTTCCTAAGGAGATTTCTATTACAAAAAGAATCAGAACATCTTAACCAAGTTAACATGCTGTGAATATTGCTTTACTTGAAAGTCACTGCATTAAAGTTATCATTAACAGTTTTTGTCAATGAGTACTTTTTTCTTAATTTCTGAGTTCTAAACCAGTGAGAAACTCAAATGTGATGCCTGTGAAAATTGCCCAGGTGCACAACATTGTAGAATGTGTCAATAATTACCCGTTATCAGCTGATCATATACAGGTCTGGCACAATCTCTTGATTTAGATATATAACTTGAATTAACTATATAGCTTGATTAAGCTATTCAAAATAGCTTGTTTTAGCTATTTTATCATACTTTTTTCTCCTAAAGGCAATATTTTAAAGCATGTAAACAGTGTTTGAAAAAACTCTGTGCCCAGCTGCCTGAGATGCATAAAATTCACTTCAGACAATTCTCAAATTGATACCTCTACAGGTAGCAAAGCCTAACAAGCCAAGTGGCAGATCTCGTTCAGTCTATATTATAATCAGGATTAAAGTTATGCTGACGGAGTCCTAGTGGCATTTAGTCAGAGAAGAGCCAAGATATCTTTTGAATGAAGATTGCAAGTTGCCAGTCACTTGCAAGGAAGATGAACTAACAACATATATGGTTTTACATTTGTAATAAAATTATTTTTGAAAAAGGCAATACATGTATACTTTTCTCAGGCTAGTAGATCTTTGGGAAGGCTTACAACTTTTATTGGTGGTCAGCCATGCATTGTCTAGCTAATTTTACAGTGAGTTTCAAACACTGATGTAAAAAAGTTGAAGTTAGGTGCAGTGAAAGTTTTCAACTTTGAACTTTTCTGAAAACAATGCATGAAAAAAAATTGCTCATCAAATTGCATCTCCTTGAGAGACTAAATTTGCAAAGTTCTAAAGGTTTTAGGGCTAGACAAATTGAGTTGTGACCGCACAGTTATTTCTTGAATGAAATTATAATGGAGGGTACTTGTGGTCTGTCAACAAGATGAATGATTGGTACTAATTCAGCAAAGTGTGAAGTAATCAGACTTATCTAGGCCTCATCCCACAGATAGTGGTGAACAGTTACCCAAACAATCGAAATACATCTTTAGCTTAAAGGTACCAGTATTGAAAAGCTGCAATGTTAAAACTATATTTGATTTTGGTTGCCTTTAAAATTGTCCATAGTACAAATATGAGAGTGACAATCAGACATACTCGCAACTTTTTTTCTATTTAAAAATTAAAATAAATTTTGTGAAAAACTGAACATAAATATTCTGAATACCTACATATAGCTTATTCAAGCTATATAATTAAATCAAGAGATTGTGTTGGACCTGACATACATGCATCATAGAATAATTTGTAACTGAAATTTGACTAATCAGATAAATAATATGTATTATTTAGAGAACGCGACAGGTTCTGTATCGTAGATACAAATCTGGGGGTGGACAAGTGCGTAGCACGAGTCTCCACCCCCAAATTTGTATCTACGATACAGAACCTGTCAAGTTCTCTAAATGATTTGTGACACGATCAATCAAAAACAAGCACCGCCCACTTTATAGCTGTGCAGGATCCTAACTTCTGCCAGAGTTCGTTTGTTCTCTCTGTAGATGAGGCCTCAATGGGGAGTATACATCCTCAGTATATATATTTCTATGGACAACGTAAAATTTAGTCAGATTAGTTTTGACAACGAGGTAGACGTAACAGACTTGAAGTCAGTCTTAATTGATAAGGTGGATGATTTAACCTTGATGTAGATGGAGATTGATCCTAATTTATTGCCTGGGTCTTAAAATCTCAGTTTAACTAGATACACATACAGGCGATACAGACAGTTTTTCGATGGACTTTGATGTTACAGATTTTTATTTTTTTATTGAAATGCGACATAAAAAATGAAGTGAAAGAGATTTTCGGCAGTCATCAGCAATAAGGATTTAAGATGAAATTTAAAAAAAAAACTGAAAAATGGACGAGATTGAGTTTGCATAAGAAGAGTGGAAAGTGGAGGATCTTTTCCATAATTATGAATTTTCTTTTTCATTTGGATCGAAATAACATGTAGATTCTGTGTGGAATAATTTTTTAAAAGTGATTGAGAAATTCTGACATTCTACATTCCGAAGGAAATATTTCTCCAAAATTTAACATAGGAAAAAAAATCAGCATTTTCTAATTTGTACATGCTTTTGATAAATTGAATCAGATTTATTTTTAGACCATGCTGTATTTTAGATACAGAACAGTTGGCTAACACAAGACAGTATATAGGGCTAATACAGAACGGGAAGTAGCTCCACCCACTGTTTTCCCATTCTGTATTGCTAATAAAGAACAGCAAACTTCAAAGGAAAACACCGCTATCGTGTCACAATAAAGATATACACGCTATAACTTGTGTAAGTTAAAAATAAAGTTGGAAATTTATTTATTTTGTTTACCAATTAAAGTTACAAAAATATTGTAAATTACACAATTGAAATGAACGCATTATAAAGATCTCAAATTTTAACTATTTATTATCCTACTAGGAAAGTAATGCCTCTACTTAAATTCATGCATCACGTGACACCGTCGCTACTTTTAGATTGATAAACAAAAATGGCGTCAAAAAAACTAGGTAGGCCGTTTGGTATACAAAATAACTTTTGACATGGATGGCATACGTTTTATGCTTAAAGATACTTATCTTTTGAAAACAACCAGTATTAACCATCTACTCTGTAATGACAGATATTAACTTTTATTCAAAATCGTAGTCAAAATGCAATGTACCTCGTTGTCTATGATGTGTGTCTATATACTGTTTGCGCACTTCCTTCATCAATATTCATGAATAGGCTGAATTCTTAATTGCAGATCTTGCTTAATTGTTTTGTGATTACAACGACTTATTTAGTAAAACTTTGTGGAAAGTAATTATTTTTTATTACACATCATGTTTCTCAAATCATTTAATCATTTTGTTTCACATAAAAAATCGCGTTTATATAGCGTGTATATCTTTAATAAAAAATTAATTATGTCTCTGTTGACACATACCTGCTGCTGCACATATTTTACTTTGTTCATGTGCTGTTTTGGTGCAGAATTTAGTTTAAATACAATCCAATTTCTGATGAACATGAAAACATCGTACACGACAGATAATGGCATTAAAAACAGGCACACAAAAACCCATCGGTAGTGTTTTATAATATATTCCAAACCTCTGTACTTTGCCCAAGAAATAAACAGAGGGACAGCAATGATAAACGCATTTTTTAGAGAAAGATCCACAACAAAAGCCATGACTGAGCCGTTTGCTTGTTATCGTTAGGGCAAAGGTTGAACTAATACCCTAACAGCAACAAGACAAGCAAATCCATTTTAACAACAAGAAAGGTCAAGGTAAAACGAAAGTAGGACCTCTGACTTCCTGTACAGGGACTCCTCGAAAATGTTCATACAAATTGACCTAAACTCCCGATATTTCGCGCGAAATTGTAAGTAGTTCCCGCCACAAGGTGCTTACGAAGGCGTTTGTTTATTTCTTGGAAGAAATACAAGGACAAGGAGTAACTCAAAGGGACAATGTGGATTCAAGTTAGAAGCTTTGATGGGAAAAAATCATTACGTGTAGATAATTTGTCAAAGTTGACTAAGATTGAAGAATTAAGATCACGTTTAGTTGAGGAATTTGAGGCTCCTGTTGAGAAACAGCGATTGTTTTACAGAGGAAAACAGGTACCTCATTTTCATGTGTTTTATTACCAGATCATAAATTAGCAATATCAGTGATCACAATCATCAATGTGCAGATTTATTCGATGAAAAGGGATGGGGGAAGATTGAAAAGAGGTATAGATCTGTAATGGTGGGTGGGGGTGGGAGAAGTGCATGATTCTTAATCTGGGCTGATATGTCTACTTTGAAATCTTGCTAGATTTGTTCATGTTTTTACTATAGTTCATTTAACTCTAGATAGAACATTCTATCGAAAAAAAGAGAATTGTCTTTTGTACTCAGTTTAATGATTGAATATGTTTTGTATATCGAATATGAGCAAAATAATCAGGGGCAGATAATTCAAAACTTAGCGTTTTATGAAAGATGCAGAGAGTTCCAAATATCATCAGATGTTTAAGTTGATTAACAATATTTTAGAAAATGTGTTGAATTTTCCTTCACATGTAATGATAATTTTTATTTTTTAGGTCACCTGACCTATTGCTATCTGTTTTCGTTCATCGTCGACTGTCGTATGTTAATATTTGAACATTTTCAACTCCTTCTCTGAAATCACTGAACCAATGTTAGCCAATATTGGCATATGGCATCTATGGCAGAGTTTCCAAAAACCTTCTGTCTTACCAGCAAAACCGAAAGAAAATTGAAATGTCGGATGCTATATTACAACGCACTTTGAAATAAATTTTCAAAGTGTGTTAATTTTGGGACCACGTTAAGGCACTTTGAAAAAAATATTTACTTTCAAAGTGCGTTAATATCGACCATATTAACGCACTTTGAAAAAAAAATGTGTGCGGCTTGGTCAATATTCTTTCCAGTGATTTTTTTAGGGCCGATTTGGGGCCGAAATTCGGCCCCAGTCCCAATTTGAAATATGCCTGTATTTTCCCAAAATGTAGTGGAAGTTTTCTTAAAGAAAAACTTGCAAAATATGTGATCAAATTCAGTTTGTTTATTGCATGTTTTTCAGTGAAGTTCAAGCAGGTTTTGTTGTTCAGCCATGTTGGATTTCTGCATAATTAGATAATTCATACCAATATTGTTCTTGGTGCAAGTAATTAGATAACTCATACCAAGAATAGTCTTGATTTGTTATAACAATTGTTTGTTAAAGTAATACAAAGACAAAAACAAAGCTTTTTGACAATGCTTTTAAAGTGACTGGGTTTTCTGGGAGATTCCCAATTTAGCCTAATTGACACTGAATTTCCCAATTCTGAGGGCCCCAGCCCCCAGTCCCAAAGTACTGAAAAAAAAAACACTGCTTGCAAATTTTAGGTGTGATAAATAATTATTTGAACCTGGTTGGATAACTTTTCAATTGTAACTACTCGGCCATTTCCGTAACAACAAATAACGGAAAAGGGCGAGCGTGATCTGAATGGATGACTTTTCGGTGATGACGTCAGGATCTGAGATATAGACGTTTTAAAGATTTTTAGGAGTTGTCTTGTTTCCAAAGGTTCTCGTAACTGTTAAAAAAGGGAAATGGGTCTTAGAAATAATGGAGGAATAATTGTTTTATAGCACAGTTTCGTTTTTTTTTTTTTCTTTTCTTTTTTTAGCTCACCTGAGCTGAAAGCTCAAGTGAGCTTTTCTGATCACCTGTTGTCCGTCGTCCGTCCAGCCGTCTGTCCGTCCATCTGTAAACTTTTCATATTTTTGACTTCTTCTCAAGAACCACTGGGCCAATTTTTACCAAACATGGTACAAAGCATCCTTGGGTGAAGAGGAGTTAAAATTATAAAAATGAAGGGCCAAGTCCACATCATAGGGGAGATAATCAAGATAATACAAAAATTGGGAGGGGTCATTAAAAAATCTCCCTCTCAAGAACCACTGGGCCAGAAAGGCTGAAACTTAATTGGAAGCATCCTGGGGTTGTGTAGATTCTAAATTGTTCAAATCATGACCCCCGGGGGTAGGGCGGGGCCACAATAAGGAATCCAAGTTTTACATTGAAATATGTATTAAAAATCTTTAAAAATCTTCTTCTCAAGAACCACTGGGCCAGAAAAGCTGAAACTTATGTGGAAGCATTCTGGGGTAGTGTAGATTCTAAATTGTTCAAATCATGACCCCCGGGGGTAGGGCGGGGCCACAATAGGGAATCCCAAGTTTTACATTGAAATATATAGTAAAAATCTTTAAAAATCTTCTCCTCAAGAACCACTGGGCCATTAAAGCTGAAACTTATGTGGAAGCATCCTGGGGTAGTGTAGATTCTAATTGTTCAAATCATGACCCCTGGGGTAGGGTGGGGCCACAATAAGTACTACCGGGGGGGGGGGGGGAGGGGGGGAGAGAAATCAGGTGAAAAACAGCAAGGCCAAAGTTACTCAGGTGAGTGCTGTGGTCCATGGGCCTCTTGTAAATTTTATCCAGTCTCTAATAAGATCGGTAGATGAAGGTGTCGATAAATAACTTAAAGCATCGCATTTTTCTTAGGGAAAAGGGAGCAATTATGATTTTTCCATACCATGAAAATTCTCTCTCTCATCTATTTTTCTATCATATTCTTCTGTCTATCTATTGTGAACATATAAAATGAAACAATGGTTGACTCATTTATTTGATAATAAGAAAATAAACCTTAGCCACATTACTCACTCGACTGAAATTTTTACCTCGTTCACTAATAACTTTTTCTAAAAAAAGTTATGCAGTCAGATTACTTCTAAATCTGTAATTTGATGTCATAAAACGCTAGACATGTCAAATTATAATAGCATGTTTTAATTACCATGTAAATGCATTTTTTCTGAGGGAACATTGTGGATACATTATGAATAAAGGTTATGCGGCTCTCTTCTTTAATATAATAGGGTGCATATTTTTTTTTTTCAGGAAAGCTTATCTAAATTTTTTCATCTATTTTACGTTAACTCAAATTTATTGAGAGAAATAATAATCAATGTCATACCAGTTATGTAAATACATATATTTGTGTAGGAAAGATAGAGAGTTGGGCTGAGAGACTTTCTACCTATCTCCTCCTCATTCTCGATGAGGGTAGATCAATTCAGTTCAGAGTTTTTCGGAAGAAATATAACAAAATTGATGCCATCTATTATTAAAACCTAAGTCCAGAATTTTTGTTTTATATGTATTTTTTCAAAGTGCGTTAAGTGTCTCCATGGTTAAAAACGTTGATGTACACTCTTAATGCACTTTGAAAAAAATTTTCAAATTGCATTGATTTTGTCCAAAATTGAACACACTTTGAAAAATTTTCAAAGTGCGTTGATTCTGTCCCAATTTTAACGCACTTTGAAAAAAAATTTCAAAGTGCGTAATTTTTTCAGAGTGCGTTGCCTCAATGCTATTCGATATATCACCGGTACGCATGACTGATCAATTTCTGTGTTAACAATCCATTATTTTTTTAAGGTTTCGTTGAACCCGTAAAGTTTTGTCTTTTTATCGCAGAAATATGGCTGAAAGATTGCCGACTCAGCATTAAAAAACACTCAATTAATCTCAAAAAGCATTTAGAGAGTTGCTTTCTGACAATGCAGCAACATTAACAGGGGAAGATAATTCTAATCAACACTACTACGAATAATCTAGAGAGTTCCGAATGTCAATATGGATGTAAATTCAAAGTGAGAAAAAACGTTGAGAAAATGAGTTGAATTTTTGTCTTTTTATGGGTTGTTTTTTAGGATAAAAGACATATACAATCTCAATAAGGTTTATTATCATTAATTAAGTAGTTATTTCCATTGCAACTCCTGTAAACTTGCATTTTTCAAACTCGTTATGGAGCAAATCCACTCCTATTTGCTACATTGCATCTATCGATATATTACATATTTTAAATGTGGTTAGGGCTTTTCTCATGTCATAGTTTGATTATTCTAATTAATTGTACTCTGTTCTTTTGCATTGTCTCATAATTGGTGTTTTGACAATTCGCAGAATCATTTACGTACTCTGAGAACTTTCAAGGTCCAGTCAGGTTGGCATTGATGTTCTGCAGCAATTTGATATACACTTTCAGATGAAATGGACCAGTTCTGACCTATGTCATATTCTTTTGAATTACATCATGAATTATATTAGAATTTATTTGGACTGGTAGAATTTGCTTCGGACTGGTAGAACACATTAAGTCATCAGTTCAAATGACTGATAAAAATATTTGGTTTTTCGGAAACTCTGCTATGGGTGAAGGGGAACAAAATTTTTGAATTTCTTGTTCGCCACCTCCTTTGGGGATGAAGGGTGGGGCTTATACCAACAAAATTGATGCAATCTTTAAAAAATCCTCTTCTTTACTCCAGGACATTGAACAGTTAAACTGTTGACATGATTGTAATAAGGATTGAATCTTTTACCAAAATTATGAAATTCATGGCCCCTGGGTCAGAGGTTCTGGAGTAAGGTTAAAGGCTCTATGTATTGATCATGTAGTAAAAATGCATACATTCTTTAAAAAGTTTTTCTCTCCCCCTGTATATTAAGCAAGCAAACAAAGTGCATGATTATGTTGAACAAGGATCCCTCTTCAGAAATTGTGAAATTCATGGCCCCAGGGTCAGGGGTTGGGGGGCTATATTGATAATTTAGTGAAAATGCAAATGTAAGACATGGAATTCTACTAAAACTTTTGATGGATTTAAACTTTAAAAATGTGTTCGTGGCCCTTTAAATAACTTTTCGATAAATCTTTTTAACAGTAAACATTTAAGGTTGACCTTGGTGTAAAATGGTTATTCAGTTTATTGAAAGTATGTTAACTTATTTCATTTCTACCGTAGAAAACTCAGGTATTTAATATAACAGAATTGTTTTTCTCTGAAGCTGGAAGATGGCCACTCCCTCTTTGACTACAATGTAGGACTGAACGATCTTGTTCAATTAATGGTTAGGGCCGCACCTCTTGGTGAAAACAAAACTCAACAAAATCAAATTGAGGAGGAAGAAAAGAAGCCAACAGATGGATATAACAGCAGTGGAGAGGAGAGCACCTGTTCTGATAAAGAAAACAAGGACAAGGAAAACAAGCTGGTATCATTTTGTAGCCTTGTATTACTAAGTTTAGGGTTTCAATGCATTTATAATAGAAAAAATAAATAATTTTAATTAATATAAAATTCCATTTTATTATAAGTTTGTAAGAGAAAAATCATATAATGTATGTTAATAGAGGTTATGTGGTTATTTGTTTATCTGTTATAAGTATTTGTTGTCAGCATTATCTTAACTGCAATAATGTAGCCCTCTCCAATATTTTTATGCCCCACCATGAATACGGCCGGGACATATAGTGTTTGTCATGTCCATCTTATGTCCCTCCGTCCTTCCATCCTTCTATCCTTCCATCTCACTTCGCATTTAGCTCAGTTTTAAAGAAACTATTCAAGATAGTTTTATCAAACTTCATATGCTGATACATATTGATGAGAGCTATTCAAGTGCATCAATATTTTCTGACTTTGACCTTGACCTTGCTTTTCTTAAATTTGTATTTAGCTCAGTTTCAGAGAAACTGTTCTAAGACGAACCTTATACCCTGATACATACTAATGAAAAATATTCAACTTCATCAACAATTTTTGACCTTGACTTCACTTTTCTTGAATAGTGTTTAGCTAAGTTTCAAAAAAGTATTCATGATATTATTATCAACTTCACATACTGATACATATTGATGAATGCTTTAACTATATCAACATCTTTTGACCTTGACCTCACTTTTTTAAATTAGCAGTATATGCGAAAGTCACTGGATTGTTGGTTTTTACCGGCAAAATTTGGTTCGGGTCGGTACATATGGTCTTATTGTCCATACATATCCTTTATTCCATCCATTTAGCAGTAATTTTAATCTGTAACAACCCTGTCCATACATGTGATAAGTCAAAGACCACAAAACTGTACAGGAGCCATAAAAAAACTGGAATTTGGGTGAAAAAACTGTACACTGCCTATCAAAAAATGGTACAAAAAATGGTATAAAATATCGCTTAAATTCTTCTGAAATTCCATCGTAATCATTGTAATAAACATCGTGTATTTTATACCTACGAAGATCTGGGTCAGATTCACGTATATTAAGTCATGTATATCAACTTTAGAAGTTGGCTTAATTTTTTTCAATCAAGTTACGTATACGAAACATTAACAGTAATTAAGTACCCCTTAAAAAATAAAGCTACCTAAAGGGGTATTTGATACGAATTTATAGCAAGATAATTATCCCAATTGGCACACCTTCGCACGCGATGGTTTGTGTACAACACAATTATCAGAAGGTCAAGTGTCAACACAGGTGACGTTTTCCAGTGTCTCGCGAGTGAGAATGAGAGGAAAATGGCGGCATTTAGCGAGAAATTCAAAATACTGTACAAATTTTCATATTCCGTGAATTTTGGTGTCCCGCCGGTACACGATGAATGGGCTCGAAAAACTCTACATTTTGCGTACAGCCGGTACATATCACATGTATGCCTGTCATAATCGTTTATGTCTAATTCGAATTTCCTCTGTCATGGAATGTAGATCTCTAGATAGTTCATACGTATATTTGGTTGTGGGAAATTATTTTCATTATTAAACAAGAGTAACCGTTGTGAGTTACTTCAGGAAAGAAATAAATAAATATATTTTAAGTTAAAAAAAATCTTTGACACTGTGTATTTTGTTTGTATATGTCAAATACCCAGAAAGAGAGAAAATTGTATGCAATTATATACTACCTTTTAAAAAGGAAATTTTTTTATAGTAAGTTTGTTCATTTCAATAAGATCATTTTTTTAATAATCTCAACTCTAGATCTATTTAAGGTTCAATTAAACAGTGACCATACCCCCCCCCCCCTTTTCAATCTCTATATTATAATGATGTATGAATTTAAAGAAAGAAGGTCGGTCTGGTAAGTACATGCTTGGTCTGGTAAAATATATATTTTTACCAGACCTTATGTCCTGTAAAAATTTTACACTTTTGCATAGACTGAATTAGTGATTATCTCAACTTCAAAGAAACTTCTTAAGATATTTTTATCAAATCTTATACAGCTAAACTTCGAAATCTCGAACACCGATATTTCGAATACCCGGGATATGTTGAAGTAAGGCCGCTGTCCCGACAAAATTTGCTTTATAAATGATTAAAATAAACCCCTCTATGTCGAACACGTTAATGTTGAATACCCCGGTTTCTCGAAGTAAAATTGTGTACCCATCCATTAAAATCACATGCGTTATCTAGAAGTCAGGATTATTTTCTGCTCTGATGATCAAGTCCGTTAGGTAAACTGAATGCTGTATTGATAACACCCACCTGTCTGTCACGCTCGGGTTACCTGTGTTCTTGTGATCAACAGATAATAGCGCAATAATTATATGAAGTGTATGTATGGCTTACCTTGATTGTAATTATGCAAACCAAAGGTTGTGTGTAGTCTAATGCATATGCGTGGATGACCAAAAATTGTTTTGTGGCTTGGGTACGTTTATCTTGATAATCGCTATTTAATGCTATGTGAAATATGCGCACATACATAGTTTATGCATATGAAAGTGAAAATTATAAACATCAAAGTAAAACAAAATTCTGTTATTTAATGCAATTAGAATTTATTTTCCCTATATGAGCGTGCAGAATTTACAATCGTCCGTACACGCCATCATGTGAGCATGTGTTGCAGTGAAAACTTGTGCTGTAGTGCCCTGTGATTCAGTGTTGTTCTCTTGTTAGACAAAAGTGCGTGATTCTTCTTTTGCATATGAATTTATTACGGTAAAATAATTTTCTTTTAATTGATTTTACATGTATGAACATATTTTTCCAATAAAAGAAAACGTATATTTCGTTATTCTGACAGTGACCAGTTTTAAATTTACAATGCATAGACGATAACCGGTTATGTATACATGGGAAACGATGCTAGCGGTTGACTTGCTGCGTTGGTGGAAGGATTATACTTCTTTGCATATTATACAAAGCTTTTATTTTGTGAATTATAAAGAGGATGTAAAAAATTTTTGATTGCTAAATACATGTACATGTATATTAAAGAAATCGTATACAGAGTTTCAAACAAGAAGGAATTTGACATGTTTTTACTATTAATTAAGTACATGTTCACTGCACTAAGTTTATTTGAAGTTCATTTGAGTTATAACCCTCGGTATGTCGAACCCCGGGATATCTCGAAGTTCATCAACGGTCCCGTCAACTTTTAGATAACAAAGTTTAACTATATATACTTATATATATTGATGAGAGCTGTTCAAGTGCATCAACATTTTTTGACCTTGGTCTTTCCTAATTTTCTTTGACTTTGACCTCACTTATCTTTAATATGGTACAAAGCTCAGTTTAAAAAAAAAATTCAAGATATATTAATCAAACCTAATATGCCAATATATATTGATGAGAGCTATTAACATTTTTTACCATGACCTTTTCTTTGACCTTCAAATTTGTGTTTAGCTAAAATTTCGAAGAAAGTATTTAAGATATTTTTATTAATTAAACTTTATATGCTTATACATATTGAAAAGAGCTATTCAATGGCATCAATATTTTTGTCCATGATCTTTTCTTTGACCTTCAAATTTGTGTTTAGCATAGTTTCAAAGAAACAAATAAAAGATATTTTTATCAAATTTCAAATGCTTACACATATTGATGAGAGCTATTCAATTGCATCAACACTTTTTACCATAATCTTACTTTTACTTTGACATCAAATTTGTGTTAAGTTTCAAGGAAAGAATTCAAAATATTTTTATCAAACTTCATATGTTGATACATATTGAGGAGAGCTACTAAACTTCATCAACATTTTTGACCTTGACCTTTCCTTTGACTTTGAACTTAATTGTCTTAAATTTGTTTGTTTGGTTGTTTTTTTTTTGTTTTTGTTTTTTTTTTGTTTGTTTTGTTTTGGTTTTTTGTTTTGTTTAAAGAAACTATTCCAGATATTTTTTATGAAGCTTATGCACTGATTACATTATTTGGTGAGAATTTATCAAGTGTGTCCATTTTTTTTTATTCTTGAACTTCCAAATGACTTTTGATTTTACTATTTATTGATATCAAAAGTCAGTTATAAAGAAACTATTCAAGGTGTTTTCATCAAACTTCCTCCATTAATACAAATTTTCATGTTTCATTACTATTGAACCCTGGGTGGGGCATTCATGTCCTATGGACATATTTCTAGTTTATTGGATGTTTTGGGAGAGGGCTACAGTTCCAAAGGATCTCTGTAAAGGTGCAGGAATATATTTTTTTAATATGGGTGACTTCATGTAAAATAAATTGCTTTTCAATTTGGATTTGACTTCCCTCAAATAAGATGAAATTTGAATTCATTTTCAAAAACAGCCTATGATATGATAGAGAAGGTAAAATACAACTGAATGTTTCTTCAGCAGCTATGACAGGTCTCCATGAGATACTGAGACTTGCACTTGAAATTTAGAAAGGCATGATAAGGTAAATTTTGGTGTAGATAATAATTGTGCCATTTGGAATTACTTTGATAAATGAGAGCATTTGAATGTTTTTTTTTTTGTTTTTTTTTAAAAAAGAAGTTATATTTATGCTTAAAAAAAGGGAATCCTATTTATTTATTTACAAGATCCACTCCGTAGGTCTCAATTTTGTCCCAGAATAAAATTAATCAAGGTCAGTAAATATGGCAGAAAAATTCAAGTTGTGATGCCTACATACACGAAAAATAAATGATAATGGACTTTTCATTATATTTAGAATCAAGATATGCCATGCATAACTAGATTTTTAGCTCTTCTGAGCCGAAGGCTCAAAGAGCTAACGCTATGGCCATTTGTGTGGTGTGCCTAAACTTTTTAGAATATGGGCCATAACTATTATTGTCAAATTTGTCACAGGGTATCCTTGGCCCAAGGGCTCCCGTTTATACTAAAACTAAGGTTGTGACCCTTAAACAAGGGGAGATAATTAGGAAAATAGAAACAAAAGTACTGGTTGCCAAAAAATCTTCTTCTCAAGAACCACTGGGCAGATTATCACCAAATTTACATAAAAGGATGAGGATATGTTGTAGATTAAAATTTGCAAGGGGAATCACCCTGGGGCAAAGGGCATGGTCTCAAGGTCACTTCAAAGTTGACCAAAAATGACATTTTATTAAAATGTTGGTATTTTGCTTGCTATAAGGACTAGGATCATCAAATCTTGTCAGTTGATGCATCAAAGGACCTCATATCATGTTGACTCAAAAGTAGGTCACGGTGACCTACTTTTTAAATTTTGTGGCCATTCTTTTTCAAAATGATGAAGAGGCATATTTTGAACAATTTAAGGCATATGATCATCAAACTTTGTCAGTTGATGTATCTTGGGTCCTCAGAGTAAGTCAACTGAATAGTAGGTCACCTTGACCTACTTTTTGGATTTTATGGCTAATCTTTTTCAAAACAATTAAGATCATAATTTCGAATACTGAGAGATTTAGAATCATTAAATCTTGTAAGATGATGCATCTTGGGGCCATAAAACATATTTATTAAAAAGTAGGTCACAGTGACCTACTTTTTGAACTTTGCAGGCATTTGATTTCAAAGCATTTTAGAAGCATAATTTGGACATATATCAGGCACTAATTGGCTTAGATTCATCAAACTTTGTCAGTTGATGCATCTTGGATCCACAGATTTGGTTGACTGAAAAGGAGGTCACTTTGACCTATTATATATGAGCGACTTTTGAAATTTTATGGTAATAATTTTAAAAATATTTTAGGTATTATAGAATCATCAAACTTAGTTGATGCATCTTGAGTCCGCAGAGAATGACAAGTGATAAGTAGGTCACCATGACCTACTCTCAGGTACTAATTGGCTTAGAATCATCTTGGTTTCTCATAGCGTTTCATCTAAAATGTAGGTCATGAATACCTACCTTTGGAATTTCAAGGCTTTATCTAAATATGCAGGATACTTAGAGGCTTCAAATAGAAGTGATAGGTTGTACAGTTTATCAGAAGAGGGATTCAAGGTCCTTGGGCCTCTTGTTTAAGTTTATGTAGGTAAGGAATATTAATAAAATAGTCACTTGATAATTATTTGAGCCAAAATTTTTGCAGGAATGAATTACTCTCGAGATCCTATGGAGTTGTAGCCCTCTCTGCCCCCCCCCCCCCCCAAAAAAAAATTGATGATGGGAACTAAATTATTGTAGCTGGCAATATCTGTAGTATGAAATATTATTTCCACTTTATATAATGATTGCATTTTCAGCCTTCAACTCCAGTGAAAGAAACAATCAACAAAGCAGAAACTTCAACAAAAGAGGAATATGCTAATAGCACCTACAAGGTAAATGTTTGGATTCCACTCAACATTATGAAAATGTCTTTTTAATGTAGAATTAGATAGCCAATCAGGTGCTGATTGATGAGATGCAGCACCTGTTTGGTATGGTTAAACTTCACAACATTGAAATCTGGAATACAAGGGGTATGTTCACAGTTGAAGTGATTTGGTTCCAGCCATATTCATACATGTGACAGAATTGAAAAATCACAACTGGAGATTTGAAATTTTTCAGCTGGAGTTTGGGTCTCAAAGCTGGAGATTTTTTATCGACATTTTTTCAAATCGCAAAAGACCATCCAACCCCCAAAATTCAGGAAAAAATACCTTCTCCCAGTTTATTACTTTACAAATTTTATTTTATAAAGTTGTTGTCTAGTTTTAAGAAAAATATGATAAAGTTTTTATATTCAATTGAAGTGAAATTGAGTATTCAAGATGAAATCAACTCATTTCCTAGTAAAGTAATTAAGAGTTAACAGCATCATTAAAACATTGGATAAAATTTTATTTTTGATTTAGTATTGATATATCAACTAGTAAGTGAAGTAAAACAGCTAGGTTTTATGTAACAAATTCTATGTCAGTAATTTGTTTTTAAATAGAATGTTTACAGATGAAAAAAAAGTACCCTCTAAAAAAATAAACAAATTAGAGTCAGGTATATTTTAGCAACACCCTGTAGTGTGATCTATTTTAAACTAGAGTGTGACCTACATTATAACTGTATCTTTAAGTGACAAAAGTAGCATTAGAAGATGTCAACTGGGTATTTTAGCAACTAATTACAATGTTTTGCATTCAGTAATAAACATCAATGGTCTTTTATCAAGTTGATATATCATTAATTTTTACAACATAATTATACGACCTCATGTTGATTCCTACGAAGCCTACCGCTGTGAAAATTTATTGCACTGGCGTTGTTATCTCAATTTCTTTTCATTCTGAGCAATTATATGAAACACGATCAAAAAAATATTGCAAATAATATTTAATTTGAAGAATTTTAAAACACGGAAGATTTAAAAATTAATCGGGAGGGGCGGAAGGGGGTGAAATATCTGGAGATTTTGTCTCCCGCCGGAAGAATCACATGTATGCATATTTTCTTTGTTAACCTCATTATCTCCAATAGATATCTAAGAGTTGAATATCGGCCCTGTCGAGTTTGAGATAATGAGGTTTGACTGTAATTGTGTTTCAGCTCGGGGATATCATTGATGCAAGAGATACCTCAGTTGGCGCCTGGTTTGAGGCTAAGATTGTAAACATATCCAAGGATGAAAAGTTTGATCCAACCAAGAAAGATTCTGTGGAAGATATGGAAGTGGATGTTAAAGACGGTTGTCCTGTGGATCACGATGGTTATATCTATAGTGTTGTTTTTGATGGGTAAATATCAAATTAGGGTTTATCAATGCTGTTTTAACTACCAGAAAATGGTATCTTTCCCCTTTTAAAAAAAATGACAAAATTCCCCTTTTAGATATGGAAAATATCCTGATTAAACATATATGTAACACTTAAGGTATATTTATTTGTGCTAATTCTAGAAATGACCCCCAGATATGCTCTCAAAATGCAAATTCTTGCAACATTTATCGGAAAATTACCAGAGGGACATGCCCCTAGACTCCCATGTTATATTCAGAGGTCCAGCACTGATGTCAAGATTTTTCCCCGTTTATGTGAAAAGGGTAGTCAAAACAAAATATCTAGATAAATCCCTGTCAAAGTGATTTAAGGTTTTGATTTTTGCATGGTTATTGATATGCAGTCTTGTTAAACTCCTAATGCTTTT